GAAAATTTTATCTGAAAAACAAAAATTACCAATATGAAAATTTGTTAAGAACTTTAAATCCAAATACATACAATAATACTTAGTACACATATCGAAAAAAATCAGTAAGAAAATCACTAATGAGCATAATTGATTATACAGCCAAAGAAAGTCCAACAAATTCAAAGAAATAGTTTATCTGAAAAAAAAGTAAATTTAATTAAAAAGTGAAAAAACACTGTGTTAAAAATACTTTCCTAAATATCTGAGATTCTACTGTACCATTGTTCGCCTGATTATTTTCCCATAGTGCAATGATGATGTCAGACGTGTGAATAACTAAAATCCAAAATAACTATTACTCACAGCTCTCTCAAACATAACATCACACTGAAATGATTAGCCGACGAAAAGTTCAGCAATGCAGTTTTTCTTTCTCAACCATTTACAAATATTTCCACTCAAACTTGGATGATGTCAATCATAGAATATTGGTTAGAAGAGAAGCAGAGAGTAAAAAGTTTGTAAAGTCTAAATCAAGGATAATTTATTAACAAGTTTTCTTTAATAACTTATTTTTAACAGGACTACTTCTACATTTTTTTATATGAGATTTTTCTTTCAATGTTTTCGCTCTATGTGGAAAACCTATAGAGAAAAAACGAAGAAAAAACATTACTCAAAAAGTACTCAAGTTTTGCACAACTTGATACATGTTATTTACAGCTGAGTTTCTTTTCTATGTATTGGTAATAAAATTAACTTTAAGTGCCGTTTTCAAAATCTCATTATTACCAGTTGTTTAGACATCGACGACATCTGAAATTCTAAATAAAAAAGTTGTATTTAAGTTTTTTTTTTTTGTATTTCTAATACTTAACCAAAAGTTTATATAAATTTTAATATATTTTTCTAAACGCATATGTTAAAACCGATACTTAATCTTTTTTTGTTGTTTGGTGATGACCTATAATTTATTGTGTAGACAAATAGCATAGTTGCGAGAAGACCGTTATAACTTGATATTTTACAATTACATGTAAAATTATTTGAAATGCTTTTTATTGGAATAATTTTTGTTAAATACTTTAAAATTAATCTTATTATCACAGAAATCCGGTTCAGTCGAAAGTACTTTAAGCTCGCTATCTCAACATCCGGTTATCGTTTAACTGATACATATTCTGCCGGTTAACAAATTTTTTGTATGAAAACTGTCTTCTATCGTTTCGATAAAAAATAATCAGACATTGAGAATATGGAGTTAAATTTGTTTTTTCGAATAAATTAAAATTAGAGGTTTTTATTAAATAGGTATGTATGTAATTTTTAAAAACTTGAAACGTCGTTTAAAATTATAAAATTGATTTTTTAAATATTTTGCAAACTAACCAGAATCCATAAACGTTAAAACCAAATAATTTGATTTATGGCATTCTTGTAGCAAATGCCCAATATACACGTACAAAACTAAATATACAATACATTCACATTTATAAAGACAAGTATATTTGTGTATTTCTTTGCTTAGGTTGAGAGATTTTTAAATTGTTTGCTTTAAATCAGTCGTTTGCCGAAAATCGTTGTGTTAAGTAGAAAATCGATTGAATTCGGTAGAGAAATATTATTTAAAAAGTTCAAGTGTTAATTAATTATAATATAATATTACTAAAATATATAAATCAAAATGCCAATTGGTAAGTAAAATTTTGATTTCTTTTTATGATAAACACCAAAATACTTATAAACATATGTATGTGGATAAATATATATAGTCCCACGACATACAAACATTTATGTACAAAGTAAAAGTTTTCCTACTCTATTCTATTTTATATAGATGGAGATTTGGCAAAATTCCAAATTTTTTTAATCAACTAAAATATATGCCCGTCTGTACATACATATAGCTCACATAATGCAGAATCATTACAACTTAAAAAAAATACACTTTCAATAAAAACAATGTCAATCTATTATTTTAGCAATGTAAATTAACCAATTCAATGAAATACATCATCTCTAACTTCTAAAATAACTGAATATTTGCAAAAAATATTAATTGTTTAGAAGATTCCAGTTACTGCACCCACATAAAAAATTCAAAAAATTCGAGTTGCTACAGTTTTGCATTCGTTTGTGAAGGGCGCAGATGAAATATAATAAAATATAATTCAATACAAACAATATTCAATAACTTGTTTATTCGTTATTAAGAACAAAAATTTCAGGCCGTTATAGCTCTTAAAAAACAAAAGAAATTATAATAATATTGTTTTTGTATGCAAATTTTATTAAAAAAAATTTTGGTATAAAAGAAACTACGCAACATTTCTCTTTTGTTATGTTTTTTTAAGTACAGTTAAATATTTGTAAAACGTCTGTTTGTTTTGAACCTAGTACAGCAAAAACACATTCATATTAAAAAGGTTTTATTTTCACTTTTATATAATTTTCGAAGCGTAATGAAAGAGAATGTTACAAAATTGTCAAAATTATGTGGGGGTTATATTGGCTACTTTGGCTTACAAATTTTGCTTTTTTAAAAGTTTAGTGATGAGTAAAACCGCCGAAACATTCATCTAATAATTTGTCACTACTGTACATTTCTATGATCTCATATACATATATGTACATACATACATATGTATGTATGTATAAACATTTTATTTTGAAAAAGTTGTTTGTTTTGAATGTTTTTTTGTTAATGTTGTTTACGAGCATTAATAGAATTAATTTTACCGGACTATTTATTGTATTTTGTTTATATATTTGCATATACACACAAATTAATATACATCACATTCTTAATATACATACAGACAACTATAGATATTCATACTACTACATTGTTTTATCTCATTTGAGTTCAACCCGAACCTCCCAAATTTTATAAAAATAGAAAATGTTTAAATAAACCGATTATTTTAAATAAATAAATTTCTAATGACAAACTAAATCAGACAGGTGTCTTCTTACTAGTAGATTGGTGGGATTTAATATTTAAATTCAAAGTACAAAACAACAATTTAGTACGTAGTATTAATTAATATACTATGTATGTTTCTATGTGTGTCTAAATATTAGCTTTTCTTATTGCTGTTAACGATTATCGGTTGGATTTGAAACCTTACTCACAAACGGTTCAAAACATGTCTGAGGGAGATGTTTGTTTTTGTTTGTCATGTCGAAATTATAAAAGATGATGTCATGCATTTTGTTTTGATTTTTTGCTCTGAGTAATTTTATTATTATAGTTTTTCGACTGATGTGCTAAACAATTTGTATGTAAGATGTTTATTAAGTTAGCGAATTTGAGCATTGATTGTGAATAGTTTGTTAATTGAAAGTTAACACAAAATCTTTAGAAATCGAATAGAGCTATAATGGAATATTTTAGTTAGATTATGTATGTAAATTAAAGTTTTTTTTATTTTGGAATTCAATTTGGAAATTTTTTAGAAAATGTGTAAATTTGTTTGAAATTTAGTTAATTATTTTTAATATTTTTATAATTGCAGAAGTAAACACTCCCGATAAATTGGAATACCAATTTTATCCAGCTTCTGGTGGTGTTTTCACCTTTAAGGTTCGTTGTGCCAACGATGCTCATTTGGCTCTCACATCTCAACCTGCTGAAGCTGACCCCATGTATGAAATATTCTTGGGTGGCTGGAGCAATTCAAAATCGGTTATTCGCAAAAATCGTCAAAAGCCCGATGTTGTTGAAGTCGCCACTGAAGGTATTGTAAATGCCGGCGAATTCCGTGGTTTTTGGATTCGCTGGTACGATAATGTGATAACCGTTGGTCGTGAGGGCGAAGCTGCTGCCTTTATGTCCTACGAAGATCCCGGTTTATTCCCTGTTAACTTTGTAGGCGTATGCACCGGTTGGGGTGCCAGCGGTAACTGGCTAATCGATGGTAATTATTCATACAAACGATTTTTTTGTGCCAAGTTTTCAATAATTTTTTTGTTTGCTTTTCAGAACCTGCACCTTCTGCACCTGCTATGGGATTCTCAGCACCCACAGGTAGTGGTCCTGGCTGTTGGGTACCCGCTGCTAATGGCGAAATTCCTCCCAACTCTATGGAAGGTGGATTCGATGGCAGTGAACAATTATACATTGCTCGTGCCAGACATGAGGGTGATCTGATCCCTGGTAAACTACATCCTTCTCATGGTGTATGTTACGTTGCCTGGGGAGGTGGCGAACACGGTCACAGTGAATATGAAGTTATGTGCTCTGGTGGTGGTATGTGGGTTCCAGTCTCTGATGGCAACATTCCTCCAAATGCTGTTCCTGGCGGTGAAACTGCTGAAGGCGAACCATTGTTTGTTGGACGCGCCACTCATGATGGTACTATCACCGTAGGAAAAGTACAACCATCACATGGCTGCTGTTACATTCCTTATGGTGGTGAAGAGTTGGCCTACAAAGAATTCGAAATCTATGTTTCCAACTAATAAAATCTAAACAGCATTTTGCACATTGGCCAGAAGATAGTGACACCAGCAAGTCGCACTGATTAATTGATGAAGCACAATAATCAAAGTATATGCTCCATTCATTTCAATTGTTTAGATTTAATCTGAACTAAAACATTGCAATTATTTTCTACACATTTATACACATGATATTTTTATATACATATTTTTTTTTTTTTTTTGTTTAAATTATTGTTCATTTTAATTTGAAAACGAATCTCAAAGATTTAAAAAATTATTGCTTTAAATAAAAATAAATTAAAAACCAAAAAAAAATTGTTTAATTTCGATTAGGGTAAGTTATGGTACAAATAAATTTCGATTATATTTTTACTCTAAATGTAAACAGAAAATATTATTGACTTACCAGAATCCTTTCAAGGTTTTCAGATTTAGTAATCATATTTGTAATCGTTTATTGCCAATTGACCTTTGCAAGCTTCTCCCAATTAAAAACAAAATTAAATTAGGCTCATATGATAACGCTGACTGGGATTTTCCATTTTGATATAGGTAAATAAATAATTCAATTGTTAACTGCCATTTGCTATATTTATTATTTTCTGTCTATATAAATTCATCATGTACTTGCGTGTGCAATGTATAAGTATGTATGCACAAAGTTATTTTGTTGTTTTTTTTTTCATTCATGTTTCATGATTTGTTTTTGTTATAATTATTTTTGTTTAAACTCTATTTTAAAATGATTAAGTACGCACAATTTATGTATTAATTAATAAATATCTATGTAAGTATATATATATGTATATGTAAGTATTATAAATTTTTTAATTAACAATAAATCTCGTCTACTATTTTCCTTCATATTTTAATTTGTTGCTTTTAATATATGTATTTATTTTTGAAAATTTATTACTGCGCCTACAAAAAGAGCCATAAAAACAAATTTTAAACATTTAATTTTTTCAAAATTACATACTTATAGATTTTTATGATGGCGCAGTAACATTTTTTATGTTAGTACATTAGGAAAGGCCCTCTCGGATTAAAAATTATGTTTTGGTGACTAATTGGAAAAAGAAATTGTTTTAAGATAAATGACCAAATTTTTGAGCCACTAATGTACATACATATTATGTATTTATAATTTAAAGCGTTCAACTTGATTAATTTTTGCTGTTTTCAATATCAGTCAATTGGTGTATTAATCAATGAATAGAGTTGTATTTTTTTTTCTTATTATAGATTATGAATCATTTCAGAAACATTTGGCTATCATGTTTTCTTTTTTATATTTTTAATACAAAATCATTTTAATATTATATATGCAGAAATACTATGTTATATAAAATAGAATATTTTTGACAAGACAAGCAAAGAGATTCTGTTGAAGAATTTCAAGAAAAAATATCTTTTAAATTACGTTAGTTTCATGTAGTAACAAATAATTTATACGTATGTATGTGTATGAAATATTCCTATAGAAATTTAAAACTTAAGTTTATGGTATTTTTTTTTTTTTATATTAAACTAAGTACTTTATTAATTTATAAATATTAAAATTATTTTTATATTATTAGAATTAAATAAAAAAAGTTCACATTACTGTTTTATGTATGTATGTTAAGTATCTTCAGTATATAAGTATTTTTCTCTTCTAGTCAATTAAGTATACGAATTGTTAATAGATACATACATGCGTACATACATACATATGTATATATAATAGGTTTTTGTGTATATATTATGTTTATATATTAAGATCATATCATTGTGTATATATTTAAGTATGTATTTGAACTAAGTTACAAATCATTTTATCATTTATATAATTTAATAAGTTATTTTTAGTTCTATTAATTTTTTTAAATAACAATAAACATGGAATTAGTTCTTTTGAGTATGTAAAGACCACTGGGCGAATTGTTCCTGCCATTGGCTGCTGCTTGAATTAGTCTAAAAAATAAAAGAAAAACAATATAACAATTATCTTTTATATAAATACGCAACCTTAAATACATTTACGGACAAATAAATAAACTAATTAACAGAACAGTTGCTAAAATAGAATTTATCCTCATCAAGACTTTAAAGTATATAGTCCCTGTTCAGAAGTTACAATCATATAAACAACTGAGTTTTTGAGATTTTAACATGGTGAATGTTAAATAAACCCAAATTACTATGTATTTTGTTTTAAATGAGCGATTTATAATAAAGGTTTTAGAGTAAAATATTTTGTTGTTCTACAAAACCAAATTTACCTCATACCGATAATTCCCATGCACTTTCTGAATATATAATTAAAAAAAAAAATATGCCTAATTAAAACTGTTCAATTTCAAACTAAATATTACAAGTTTGTTGTTTTAGAAATAATTAGGAAATCATATTTGGAGCCATGATTCTCCATAACAAAGTGAAATGTGAAATATTATTTGTTTGTCCATACAAGCATGTTTAAGTAAACAAAACCTTTACCTTATCCGTCCAATCGATTGATTGAGGGTCATCAAAATCTGTAAGATGTATTAAAAAGTTTTATGTAGAACAATATTTTTGAGCAAAATGTAAAATAGGGGAGTATTTATGATACGAATATAGATAGTTAAAACAACGTTTACAAATACACACGATTTTTTTTTTCATATATGCATCATATTATGATTATAGAAATAAACCTCTAGGAAATACTTCCTATTGAAAGAAATACACAACAGATTATACTCATTTTTTAACTATTCGAATATTATTTATTTACAGAATTTTGACAAATCAATATGTGAAACTACACTCACTGTTGAAGTTGAATAACATAACGAAAGGCATAATAAATTGTATGTATGCAATTTCATTTAAATGGAGATTTTTCATTTACATCATAATGTTGTACTACATATTGGTTTTAATGCAAGTATGTATGTAAATAATATTAAATCTCTCTTTTTCTATATATATATATTTTTTTTTTAAATCTAATTGATTCGAAAAGAGATTTTGTTACAAATTATGAATATCATAAATGAAACTTAAATTTTACACACTACACGTAAAACATACTGGAGGAGTTATGATAAAGAGTTTGGTTGGTTAGGAATGTTTTTGGTCTGAAAATATTGAAAATTTAGACAATAGGCAACAGAAAAGAGAAATGATAAAATTTCAAAGAATGGATTAAAAAAGAAGCGCGTACATTGAATATCTAGCGTCTAGCTTACTAATGATATCGTAATTTGGTTAAACGAACACAAATCCAAATTGAAACTCTCTTCTGTCAATCTGGAAACAGAAACAGAATTGAATAGAACTTTCAACTTGGATGTGCTATCGAAAAAATAATAATGATAACAATAATAATAATTGTACCTTGGGATTTGTTTTAAATAGAGTAATTGTAAGAGTAACAGAACAGTAACAGTAAAAACAACGACAATATTTATGTATTAACTTTGAATATTTTTTTTTATAAACTCAAACTATATTTCATAATATGGGCGTGCATAATTAACTGCAATTCATCGATTGTCTCACCGATTTCATGCAGTAGGGGAAAACCAGCATCCGGATCATCGATTAGGATTTCTGGATAGTTTTTATATCCCATTATACGGTTTATGTTCGCCTGTTCTTCGGCAATATCAAGATCGGAATCTAACTCAATGTCGGTATCATTCACAAGATGGAATTCAATTACTTCTTCGGGGTCGTCGCGTTTGTCATGTTGAGAGTTTAAAAATGTTTCATATTGTTGTTGTAGGCTCAAAATGCCACTATCGCCAAGATTCAGACGACCAAAGCTGTAATCCATGTCGAAATTATCATACTCTTCATCTTCGTCCTCTGATTCGCCACCTTCTATATGACGTATGTCTATATAGTGCATTAAATATTAATTATACATAGGTACACAATACAAAATATTGACAATACAAAATAGATTAATTGAAAATTTTATCTTCGAATATTTGAACGTTTTTATAATTAGTATAGTATTATAGAGCCATGACGCACACATATGCAAATCTAACAATTATATTCATTATGCTTTAAACCTCTATTTGGAAAGTAATCTAAAAAAAATTAAAACCAAAAACAAAAATTATATTTTTTAACTAATTCAACCAATGAAGAAGCACGCCCCTTCCCATCTTAATAGCACTTCATATAAACGCATTAAAATTGTGACTAAGGCAGGCAGGCAGACGATAGAAACACTTACCTAAAGGCAAAATAAAACGGGCCTGAGAAGCTTTAATCGCTTGTTCTGTAAAGACACACATACGTATACTTAACAACACATACAAACGCCAATAACTAGTACAAATATGTATCCAACTTTTAATGTAACAAATTAGTTCAAAGAGTATGTATTTAATTCTACATCAATCAATATTTTATATGCATTTAAATACTTATGGGAGTTTGTAAGTAATATGCACATTAGGGCATAACCAAATCGAGTCAAATCACATTTTCTCAAATCATCCACATCTTTTCTTAAACCGAAATTGGGCAAAAAGGAATGTTTCATAAAAAATTATAAATATTTTTTGAAAAGAAGAGATTTACTAAATAGAAATCAAAATATTGAATACTCAAAAGTTCAAGGCAATTTACGTGGAAACTTTTTGAACTCTAGCAAAAAATTTAAATAATTTTTCGTTATATATTTACAATATACATATATATATGTATACATAAATAGATTTATTATATTTTTTTAAAAGTTATACCCCAATGAACACACTCGTTAATAAATAGCGTATGTGTCTGCAAGATAAAACTCACATCATAGTAGCGAATGCCTCTAATGTTAAGGGAATAACAACTATTAAAGCACTTTTTTAAATTTAAAATTTTTAGATGAATCACAACAATGACACGACTGAGTACTACTAAAAATATTGGAGAATAAAATAAAAATAGCATTTACCTGTATTTGAGTCATTGAGAAGTGTCGACAATGGATTGAAATCAAAATCAAAAATTTCTTCATTAAACTCATAATTTGCATTTTGAAACCCTTCATCTGGATTAACTAATTTCAAATGATAAACATTTCTATTATATTCATATTCAATGTAACACATTAAAACTAACAAGTAGGAATGTAATTTTCGGCCATGCCGAATTTTATATACCAACCACCAAAAAATCTGTTCGTACATATAGTAAATGGAAAATTATAAAAAAGTTATTTAATTTATTTGAGATTTTCAAAAAGTTTCAGCGCTGATTGCATTGAACTGTTTTGGAAACAATAATCAAGAACAAATCACTCTTTTCCATCAACACTCAACATGTGTACATGCAAAAAAAAAACTGTTATAAATATTCAAATTATATATGTATTCAATATCAATATGACTAATATGTATTTTACTTTTAGATAACATATGTTAAAATCTTCAAATTAAATTGTTGAAAACAATTTATTTTATTAATAATAAAAACAAACCTCATTTTCTGTTTATACATGCTCCTATAAATTTAATTTAATTAATTGTTCCCTCATTACTAATTTAGCCTGAGAATATATATATCTGTTCAACACTAATTCTAATTACACCGTGATTGCTGGAATGTAAAATAAACACATATTTCCCTAAATATCTAAATACTTAATATTCAATAACCGAATATTCTAAAAAGAGTAACGTAAGTAATTTTGGTTGTGGGTATAAATATGAGTTGAATTCACTTATATATACATAGGTGCTGACCCCAGTATTAATAAAATATTTATAAAAGTATCAATATTTTATTCATGAGTATTTGTAAGAAAAACGGGCCCAATCCAACCAATAATAAACCTCTTATAACCTAAAAATACCAAGGTTGTTGTATTGCACTTTACAAGCAAATAACAACAGAAAAATATGAAATATAAAATATTGCACATAAAATTTGAAATATTTGTAATACCGTTAGTTTTTTAATAAATTTTTCATATTTTTCCAACAAACAACTCTGTTCTAATATGAAAATATGTTAACCGAATAAATATCTTTTCGTTATAATTTTAATTATGTAAATTATAATACTCACTACCACTCCCATTAGTGCTAAAACCTCCTCTCATATCTCCACCCATTTGTGGACTAACATGATCCATTTGATTTGGATTAAACGAACCTTGATTTATCGAGGCTGTCTGTTGAACGCGCAAAACATTCCCAGAGCCTATTAGTGAGTGGGAAGATGATTGGGTGTGCATCGAACCAATTGGAGATGTTCCCAGGGTGTTTATACCACCGCTACCACCACTGCCTACAACCGAATGACCGCCTCCAGGCATGGGAGGTGATTTACCAGAACGAGGGCTAGAATTTGGCGTGGATCTGGGTGAAGAAGTTTGCTGACTTTTTAACATTCGCATTAGACCCTCCAGTTGTTCCATTAATTGCCGTCGTGAGTCTTGCAAAGCTCCCAGATGGCCTTCGAGTTCGCCTTTGCGCTGACGCAACGCCCGTAACTCACTAATTAGAGCAGGATTTTCAGGCGCCATCTGTTCCGCTTCTTGTTGTCGTCTTAACCTCGCGATTTCACGCATAATTTCTTTATTTTTTGATTCTAGTTGTGTTATAAGCTCCCGCTGAGCACGAGAGTTGTCTGAAGTTATTGGATGCTGATTGTCGGCATTGGCTGCACTGCTGCTACTTGGCTACAAGAGAAAACATTTACATCAAGTAATGAGACGGATTATGGGCAATTTACAAAAGTATAACTCACTGCACGATTTTCCTGTGCAAGTCGGGCTGCGTATCGAGCTATCAAGCGATGTTCTTCATCGTTTGCTGATGCAGCCGCCACCCGTGATGATGAAACACCATTCGCACTGTCAATACTTCGTCCAGTGGCTCGTGAATCAATGGTGCTAGAACGATCGAACATAAGACCGCTGGGTAGACCTCCGCCCCCACCTCCTGGTATAGCACCACCTAAGCCATGAAGCATTGTCGGATCAGTGAAACCATTATGCGAAGGCAGTGGTGAGGGTGGCACAATATGTGACAGATTCAGTGTCTTCTCCGGCTGTTCAGGAAATCGTGGCAACACTTGAGTCGTCTTCTCTGGCACACATCGGAAACTTTTGCGCAACGAATGGCCAATCTGTTTACTGGGCGATTTGTAACTTGAATATTCCTTGACTTCGTGATCGTTTTGATGGTTCAGTGATGTCTTGCCATGCCAAAAGCATTCCTGGCACAGTTGGTAGGCGTGACACCGCTGACAACGGTAACGAAAGCCAGTGAAGTTTTCCTTGTGACAGACAGAGCAGATTGTCGGATGCACAATCGTTTCAACTGTAGCTAATCGATGCAGCAAAGGTAACCATACGAGACACGATGGGCCAGGTTCAGACATAAGTGTTGCCATGAAATCATTAACAGTGACTTTATTTTCTGACGAGAATATCTGTTCCTCCAATCCCTCTTTATAGTGAAAAGTAGGCGATTCGTACACAGCAGCCGGCAAAGCAAGCACCTCCCTTAAAAATTCACCCAATTTCCAGCTGACCAATTGACCTGCACCATCCGAGATCTGAGAAAAAATATCTAAAAGACCAAGAAACAAAAGATTGTGTAAATTCGATTATTTTGCACTTATCAATTTAACATACTACTCACATCTCAATTTATCCACCAATTTGCCAGAACACATCGTAGCCAAAGCCACTTTTATAGAAAACACGCGTATTTTGCCAGAGTTGTCACTACAAATGACGTTTATTAGTTATACACACTAGTTGATTATATTTCCAAGATTTACCTGGTATACGCTGCTAGTAACCAATTAAGCAATAGTCCTGCCTTTGAGTCAACCGGGACCTGTTGTGCAGTCGGTAAACGCTTGTTCAGATTATGATACAGCGATGAAACCAGCGTCTCTAAACGGGCTACACTCACATCACTCTGGGGTTCCAAAGTATTTAAACCATTCTCACGAAAAGCTTCAATAACATTCCATATATCAACTAAATGCAAATTTGTCGACTTTTGGATATAACGCAATTTGGAAGCAGTACGATACGAAGCAAAGCGTATTGAATCAAAAGTTTGTAAACGTAAGTCTTGCAACAAGGCAACTCGTGGCTCCAGTTCCATCATAGTGAATCAATTAATAATCTGAAATAAATACGTATTAATATATTAATAAAGCTGTAAAATCTTAAAAGTTAACTATTTTTATGTTTTAAATTGTTGAAAAATACCAACTCCAAAACTGGTTTTACTAAGTTTTGATTTTATCTGTTTGAAAGATGTATCATCGATATATTGGAAGTATTAATTTAAGGACTTGAAATAAATAAATATAAATTGTGTTTGAAAAGCATCTCTAAAAATAATATATAGTACGTATGTTTATATTTTATGCCGGATAAATAGATGTATATGGATATATACATAAATATATGTATATGTATGTGTGAGTGTCTAACATACTATTATGTACAATAAACTAGGCCAAATACTTCCATGTATTATTAGATTGACTTTACGTCTGTATTTTTATGTATGTTTTCCGCACACACATAAATGAGTCCTTCGCTGTTATTAATACGTATATTCATACATACATTCCTACATACTTGGTATAATGTATTTTAGAAGAAAATGCTATTTAGCAAATGACTCACTCGAGTTTCAAAATGATGCCGCTCTTAACCGTAAAGAATTAATTTCATCTTTAAAGAATTTGTAAAAATTAGTTGTCCATATTCCAATTTCAAAGAAAAATTCTTTAGATGTTCTACTTTATATATAGACAAATAAAATTTAACTTAAAAATGGAGACATGAAAGTACATTAGACATGCCCTATAATACATATTTTACTATATAAAAGAAAATTTTCAACTTTGTTGGTTTCATTCAATTCTTTACATATGTACATGATTATATGTATGTACTTAAGTTGCTCATTTTTCGGTGTGACCTATATTTTTGACATTTTTATGTTTTTAAAGAATCTTATTAGGACTTGATTAGGTTTGTCACTCATAATATATATAGTTTTCATTATAATTTATCAAATCATAACATTTTTTTATGAAACTTTGTTTTATGATCCTTTTATATACATATTGTTATGAATAAGGATCACAACTGATTTAAATTTTTTATTTAAACAAAAATTATATCTGAATTATTTTCTTTATTTTGCTACAAAACCTGGCTAATTTTCACTGTCAGCCACTATACGTTTGATTTTACCTTCCTATGGTACCAACATAAATTTATAGATATTGCATGTACTATATATGAACATTAGAGGTGTCCAAAAATATTAATTTTATTTGGATGAATCTTATTTTAAACTTACTTGTGTAATATTTAAGCCCAAACGGAAATCGATTTAAAACTAATGAACATAATGAGACCCACCCAGCAAAATACACATATCTTGGGCACCTTTAATGTACATATGTATACATATGTATGTATGTATAAAAAAGTTGTAGTAGTTTCACATTAATTTTAAAATTTAGGTTGCTATTGTCTCATCAGACGTCTTCATTACAACAATGGAATAAAACTTTTCCTGTAATGGCAAATATTTATACTTATTTTATCACTATGTTTGAACTGAACTATTTTTTTTTCTTGAATAAAAGTTTTATTTTGCCTTCCCATCATCAGTTTTCATTGTGAAGTAATTGTGTGCTTAAGTTGACATTTAGTTGCTCCAAGATAAAAACTTGTACAACTATTAATAGAACAGAGCTCTGATAAATCAGGAAAAAAAAGATAACGCGAAGAATTTCTAATAAAACAAAACTGAAACTAAAGAATTCATTATGTACATACATGTTTAAAAATACAGTTCTTAACAATTAATATGTTATCATATTACATTTTTTGTTCAAATTTCATAATATTTATTAACATCTATCAAAGTTAAAACGAGAGAAGTTTTTGAGAACTTTCAATAAAATATTAAATTATTGAATTTGCCGAACTTAAATATATTTTGATAAACTTTTGAAACTTTTAAGTTCTTCCGAATTGGAACATGCTATATTTGAAAAATTTGGTATGAGATTAAAACCAAGAAATTATGGGCGGAAAGAATAAAATTTGATTTTTCGAAACTTGTTTACAACAAGTTGTTCAATGAAGCAAAATTGTTTATTCTGATAATAAGTTATTATTAATAATCCATAAGACTGAATCCATATGTATGTTATCATTAGATAAATTTGCACAACTCACAATTTTTTACATTTCATCTATTTTACACATCTATGTCAATTATTTACATTTTTTATGAATATACAGTGGCCAGTTTGACTTTGATTTAAAAAAGGGATTAATCAATAAAGGCAAAATATTTTTTCGGTTTATATTCATAAATTATTACAACAAAAATTTTGGATTTATTTTTATATAATAAATTCCAATATTTTAAGATCCTTGGGAAAAGGGTTAACCAGAATAATCTAAATTTATTTCATGTCCAATAATGTACTTATTATATAAAACATACATATGTATATATACTATATAAAATACTTATGTTTATAAAACATATGCATAAATATGTGCATAAAAACATAATTTGATTTTCATTTTTATCAAAAGTAAATTTATTTGATTTTGAAATAAGGGTTCTATTTAAAAACATATGTATGTATTTTTTGATAAATGCCCACACACATATCTTTTGTCGAAAATTTTTCATCTACTCCCACCTCAAAAAATTTAACATTTTAACATAAAGAGTTATAAATTAATTATACAGTTGTTATTCAGGTGTATTTCAAAATAAAAATGTACTCTATCTTCAGATATGTTAATAAATGTAAATGAATGACTAAAGGCGAATAAAAATGCACTTTTTAGAAACAAATATTTTTCCGAGATATAATTTCACACTTACAACTATTCTTTTCATATAAATTGCTTAAGATGTTTGATTTATATTAAAATCTTTTTCAAATAATGAATTAATTACAGAATAATAATTTTGATATCAAATACATAATGTATTTTTTATTATTCTACTGAAATATAAACTGAATATATAAACTAAACGAACCGAATTAGAATATTTTTGACCAAAAGTACAGCAACCCTAGTGACATTTATTAAACAAAAATATTTTCTTTTGCTTGCAACATTCAGACCTTAATACACTCAACATTAGAAAACAAAAGTAAAAAAAAATCGAACGAATTTAAATGTTTGTAATCCAATTATATTTATGTTTTGAGAAAAATTAATTTATGTAAGCAGGTGATATATTTGGAATAAACATACGCTTATAAACATACGCTTAAGTATATATATATATATATATATATATATATATATATATATATATATATATATATATATATATATATATATATATATATATACATATAATAATAATAATAAAACAAGTGATATATTTGGAATAATATTTTGGATAAAACATACGCATACATATTTGGAATAAACATACGCTTATAAACATACGCTTAAGTATATATATATATATATATATATATATATATATATATATATATATATATATATATATATATATATATATATATATATATATATATATATATATATATATATATATATATACATATAATAATAATAAATAAACAAGTAGATAATAAAACAAAGTAGATTTTATCTTAGATAAAAAGTTTTTTATTTTGATTAGTTCTAGAAATCAGCAACATATTATAATTTCATATGTATGCTAGGGTTATAACTTTTTGCAATTTTTGCGAATATCAAAATTGCCATAGCCGTGAACAGATGTTAAGGAAAATAATACTATTTTTTCGAAGTTTACTTTTTCTAAATGAGAAAAATAAATAATTTTTGCCAACATTTTTGCATTTGTATTACATTATCTTAAAGAGAACATTGTTATTTAAACACCTGTTATGGAATTTCTAACAAGTCGCGATTATATTGCATAATATATCATATGAAATATCGTATAGTTCATATGGAGATTATTAAAATAATTTTTGTAAAAAGAAAAAACGAAAAGGAATTTAAAAATTGCTTTCGGTGCGGGAAGTTTTTTTACCGAAATGACTTAAAAAATATCCTTTCATTGTCAGGACAATATTGGCTATAAGGTAGTGTTGCGGTATTTTGCCGCCCAAAAAAGTTATTACCCTAATGTATACGTTTTTGTTTAAATTTATATAGATTAAATATTGATATTCAAACATTTTTTGCCTCACTACATTTATGCCTCTTTATAAGCCATATATAAAGTCATTCATACCTTTATTTTAATATAATGGGAATACGTAGATTGTTCAACATTGAATTTACTTTAATATGCATAGTTTTTATACCAACACGCAGATAAAAATCATCACAGACAATTCGCACGACCATATTTATTTCTACATTCAAAAGTCGATTTCTATGAACCACTTGTGATACTTTGTAAAGGCCGTACAATATGGCTTCTTTACGATGTTTCTAAAAAATTTCTTTATCGGAAAATAATTCGACATGTTTAGAGAAGATAACATACTACAGAAAAGTAAAGCACAAAACCACATACATATGGAAATATATTGTAAAATTAAATTCAGTGGAAAACAGAAACAGAAAAGAAAAATAAATTCTATATATGAACTGCAATTAATTATAAATTCTTGGCCCAAATATGAAATGTACCTTTAATGATGAAAAATATTTTAGAATACATACAACATAATACATTTTTACATTAATGATATGACAGATGATATCATATAAGCGACATCAGAAAATCGCCATTTAATTGATAACAAAAAAAAAAAATTATTTATAATGAAAAGTTACAAAAATGCGAATTAAATATAAAAAACAAATTATTAGTTAGGCTTTTAATTTATGAAATTTTATTTCGTATTCGCATTACTTTAAAGATAATGCTGAGAATATTTTTAATTAAAAGCCAAATTTATTTGTTGTTTATTTTCATAGTTTTAGTGTTATTTTTGTTTTTGTTCACCTTTAAACATTCTGGATTTTAAACTAAATTAGAATTCTTTAGGAATGCGTATCATTATCAAATGCTATGTACTTATTACTTTATTCTAAAATTGTATTACTATAGAAACATACGTATTTATGTATATAGTATATATGTATTTATTTAGTATATATTTTAGTTTACTTAATACTTAACAAAAATATTTATTATTTGTATATAGGTAAATGTCTGTGTATGTACGAATATGAATGCGTTTTATATTTATTTGTTATTAAAAAAAAATAATATGCAAATATACAAACATCATCACACTTGAAACATTTTGTTTTTAATTTTTTGACTAAACAGAAGGAAAACAAATCAAAATAGACGGTGACATCATTTATAGTAATCGCCAATTTTAGAATTAAATAAAATGAGACTATTCGAAGCTAAAGCTGAACGACAGCCGATCAATATTAGCACAGCAGCACTACAACAACAGCTAAATGGAGAAGCAAGGTGTATGGAAAGATAACTATTATTTAAATAGCTATCTTTTTAGACACTAGACTCTTACATATGTAAACACAATTCTTCATTTAAATTAAGTTTGAACATTTTAATGCTAAAACAAATTGTGTATTGTTGAATCAATTATTCACCGATAAAACTAAATGTAATGGTTTTAATATGATGGAAGTAGATCTGTTAAGATTTCATGGTACCTATAATTGAAGCAGTCATTTCGAAAAGGGCTTGCAACCTTTTCATTATACTGCTCAGCAGCAATAACTCTTGAAAATTGTTACTCTTACAATGATTAGAAATACTTCATGGAAATTAAGAAAGATTTTCAAATAACTATTGTTGTGGTTTTCAGTTTTTTCAATAAATTTGTGCACCGTTTACATTGCTGGCGCTCCTCACAATTTGTGTTGTAATTTTATTCACTAGTGAGGCTAAAAAATCATGGTAGCGTAAAAAAATATAAATTTAAAGCCACAAAGACGTAAAAACTCATTAAACTGTAAACAAAATATTACTTGTAAGTAGGGTATTCAAGTTTAATCTCACTTTTTTTAATAAAAATAAATAATTATTGGGATAACCACCATAATCTTAACATCAGTTATTTCTAAGAACGATAATTTTGACAAAAGCTCAGAAGTAAATATCTAATTTGTAGGATATTTTTAAAAGTTTCAAACAGACTTTTCTAAGTTTTAAAATACAGCCAATTGTATAGTAAAATATGTTTTTTTAGTCTCACAGAATGGATGCAATGAATTTAAAGTTCTTTAACAAATTAATATTAATTTTTTTTCTTATAAGAATGGAATAAAACAGACCTCAGGGTGGACAAGTATAAATGTCTGCGAAATGTCTGGAGCAAAAATAAGGTTGGAATCTATAAAAAAAAAATAAATTGGCAACTCTGACCCATTGTTTCTTTAGGTCGGAGTTCGAAAGGAGTGCGCATAGTTTTACTCCGCCGAATCACAGAGTATAGATTTTAGAGGGGAGTGACTGACTGCTACTTTAGTATGATGGACTTTGATAATTGAAGGAATTATGCAGTTACAACAAAATAAGAATTTATTTAAATTAAAATATGAATAAAAAATATTTCACACTTGTTATAATTTGCACATATGGATACATTTTAATTAACCTGTTATCAGTGTTACTTCTTTCTATATCTCTCTGTATGAAATATTTTAATAGGTATGTACGTGTGTGTACCTTTTTGTTTTATTATTATTTATTTTACCTGTTTATAGAAAAACGGACTATTTTTTATAAAAGACAATGTCGAAGCAGCAGCGCCAGTAAAACAACAGCTTTTTTATATTTCGAAATACACAAACACCACATATATTTTTTAATATCTTTTCTTATTTACATAATTTCACTCAAATTAATATAAACATTATTACTTTTATTTTCTTTCTGCATGCAATATAAATTTCTCGATGGAAAATAATATAATTTATCTATTCTTCCTGCTAATTTTTTACTTGAAAAATTTCGCGTGCACTTTTCACACCGTCTTCTTTCTTCTCGTATTGCTCACTCACTAAGAAGAAAGAGAAAACAAAATATATGAAATCAAAATCCAGGGTTGGCAAATTTGGTACCACTGTCTTGTACTTTTTCGCTACAACGTTTGAAAAATACGATCTGGCAATTTTAAAACAATATGCAAAATCTGTGTGGCAACAACAGAGAAAAGGCCAGTCGGATTTTTGACAGAATCCTTATGACCGTTTAAAAAACTTCGAATTTTCTACGGGAACTGATTAAAATTCAGTTAAAAATTTGGTCCAATCTCTAACTCCTTTTCATCTACTATCAACCATCATCATTCTCATGCTGGAGCAGTCTCCCTAATCCAAAAATACAAATTAATTTTAATAACAAACGTGCTTTAAACAATTATATTTGCAAAGGTAGCGTACAAATTATTTAGTAATTTTATTAATCTAAAAAAGTACTTTTTTAAGTTTGTACGAATAAAAATTCAATTTTTCCATGTCTGGATAGACAATAAATAACGGCATTATCATTGCCATTATCGTAAACTAAAACAGCATTATCTTATAGAGTTGCTAGTTTTAATATTAGTAAGTAAGTGCTGTTTATAATAAATTACTATATATTTGCAACTAATATTTATTTGGTCGATGACAAGGCGAATTCACGTAAGGTTGTGGTGAGATATACTAATTATAATTAATTACCTTGGGTGGTGGCTGTTCGGCAACAAATATTTTTGTTGGCGAAAAACAAATATTTTTCTTAATTAAATTTTTTATGTACATACCAATTATGCAGCTATTTAAATAAAATATTATTTGTTTACAAAATGATTGTTATTTTCAGATTTTTTACATAAATAATTGAAAAACTACCGAAGTTTTCTCTGTTTTACCGAACATTTTATATAAAAATTGTAAACAATAAGAAACTTTGACAGCTATGTAAACCAGGCGTACCACCTTATGTGAATTCGCCTTGGTCGATGACGACAGACAACCAAATAGACTCACGGACAAAGTAAATTAATAAAGTAGCGACACGAGTTGTTGTACAACAAACGTCTACAAAAACCACAGGCAATTTGTTTTTGTTCGAAATACTCACTTGTCAAAATTTGTTTACAAAAATGAACCAATAATTAATGGAAAATATGGCATTATTGTTGTACTTTCCAAAAATATGTTGTTATTTATATTAAAAGTCACAGAGTTTTCTTTATTTTTTCAAAATTAGAACATTTTTAAAAATATTATACACTTAAAATACACTTTTTCACATTAAATACAACAAATTACTCAGAAATTTGTACAAAAGCAAGCGTTAAAATGAAAACAAATATGGCAACATAACCATTTTTGACAAGTAAGTCCACAAAAAGCAAGTTTAAAAAAATAGTCAGCTGTTCAAATGAGTCTACTTTATAAATTTACTTTGCTCACGGAAAGAAACTTTGTTTCGACAAATTAAAATAAAATTTATATTTTCGCACTTTTATAAAATTTTTAAAGGGTTTTATTAATACTAACTACAAGGTAAGATTTATTGCAGCTTACATATTGTTTTGACAATTAAATTGCACACCATCTACATATGTATGTATTTATTTTCTCTATGACAACAATTACAAACAAGCTGACATTTATTTATATTGAATAATTTACTTCTGTTTCTTTCAATTTCAGTAATATTAAAATCAATATTCAAATATAATGGTGGGACATAACAATTTAACACTGTTTATAAAATTATTAATTCTTTTACAATTTTAGTCTCAAGAAGTTGAAGAAATTCTCAAACGTATACAGTCACATAAAGGTGTTGTCGGTACTATTGTAGTCAACAACGAAGGTAAGAATGAAATAGGCAAGAAATGAATCATTCTTAATGAAAACTCCAAAAATAAGGCATTCTTAATTAAGGAGCTAACGCTTTCTAAATTACAAAATCTTCTATTTTGATGACATATTTAATGAAATTTTTTTAGGCATTCCAGTTAAATCAACTCTTGATAACACCACAACAGTGCAGTATTCCGGCTTAATGAGTCAATTGGCCGACAAAGCTCGAAGTGTTGTGCGTGATCTGGATCCATCAAACGATTTAACATTTTTAAGAGTTCGTTCCAAGAAGCATGAAATAATGGTTGCTCCTGATAAGGACTTTATTTTAATCGTCATTCAAAATCCAACTGACTAAGCTGCTTTTTTGGTCATTTCATTATGTTTAATTAATTATACACGTTAATTTGCAAAACTAAACAAAAATCCTCTAAACTATTAAAAGAACCATTTCCCGCAAAATTTTATTATATTTTAATATTTTATAAGCTAACAGTCCTAAAGTTTTAAATAAGACCAAAAGTCTAGTTTTTATACCTTTTGGCAATGTATAGGTATTACCTATTACACATTTTGGGAATGTAAATACAGGTATATACTTATATTTATTATAAATATACCTTGCCTTTGAGGTTACCCCATACTCGATTCGTAACATTAACGGTATTTTGTTAATGTTATTTAAGAATTAATGGTAGTGAACTGAAAGGATGTTTTAACACTAATCAAAATGTAGCTAATAAATAAGTAATTTATTTGTATAAAACGATTATCAGTTACAATTTTTTATACATAGACTTGTATATGTGCGGTTGCTCTCAAGTGCTAGTACCTTGTTAAGTATACCGTGACGATTATAAAATAGCGGTAGCTTATTTGGTAACGGTAGAAGATCTGAAAAGAGATTTCAGCAGTTGGTAGCTAACCTTGTTTGAAATCACTGTGTTGACCATTCAAATTCGAACATTTTTTTTGCTTTATCGCAATCGTTTTTTGCCATCTTAAAAAATATTTTTGAATTTTTATGAATATAGTGTTGCCGTACTGCAGCGCTCATACAACTTGCAGGAAATTCGATATTTTCTACTGGCAAGCAAATACTTGCATGTGTAGGTTAGGTTTACGGGAGAAAAAGAAATTCTTCTTTATTAAAAGTTGCTGATGTGAGTGAACCATACATATCTAAATATACAACAAATACAAAAATATTTTTGATCCCTGTTACAATGAAAAGGTGCTCAAAAATGCAACACTGTTTTTAGGCTGTGTAGTCATCGCACATCGTTCATTTTGAAAAAAGGTTGGATACTTTTTTCAAATATAAGCCGCTACGTTGAAATATGACCGGAGTTGGACTCTGTTCAACATACGATATAGATGCTTCGACACTACATCCTCTCTATAAATAAAAAATAATCGGGGCCAAACTTAGTATCCATTTTTGATTAGCCCAGGATGTACTGAATACAAGGTAACATCTCTAGCCCAGCTGATCATAGTTTACAATTTTTAATACATAGACTTGTATACAGGCTTAAACCGCACATTTGTCAAACTCCATATAAAAAAATTTGACAATCGTGCGGTTGCTCTCAAGAGCTGGTACCTTGTTAAGTATACCATGGATTAGCCCTTACAATGACTAAAAACGATTTTCATTTTATTGATGATCCCTTATAATGACTAAAAACTATTTTCATTTTATTGATGACTACTTAATAGGGTTTTGAGAATGTCATTTCCGAATTTTGAGAATTATCCAAGTAACAAAAGATTTTAAGGAAATTCAAATTATTGCTAGCAAAATTTCAATAATTATTTTTCAATGTTATAAATTCTATTAAAAATGTACATTTTTCACAAAATTAATCATAATTATTGTGAAATATAAGTTATAATAAAATTGTTTGTTTTATCTAGGAAGCTAGATCTTTTATCCATTTTATTCCAATGTTATTGTAGTAATATTATACGGTTATTTACAATTTTTAATATCGCTGAGAATTTTAAAAACACAGCTGGAAACTTAGTGATTTTAAGCCGCCGGTGAAATTTTTGATGACAAATGTCGTTTCCGAAATTTTAAGTGTCAGCGGCCGCCGTCGTTAATGTTTGTCGGCGCAGGTCTTTGGCTCGCCCTGTTTTTTCCTTGTCGTTCGTGTGAAGTTTTTTAATTGAATTTTCTTCAGTAATATTAAATAAATATATGCGTTCTAAAATACATTAAATTATTAACAATAGTAAAATATAAATCATTCTTAGAATTAGTAGATCAAAATTAAACGGAACAACTTAAGTAAAAAATTAAAAACACGTTTCACGAACACAACTTGCAACTCAAAATGGCGTAATCGCTGTAACAAATCGTTGGAACAAAAGATTAAATTTCACAAAAAAGTCAATAACGAATTTTCTGCAGAAATAATAAACTGACAGGAAAAATTGTAATATCCACTCCAAAAGTTTTTATACCTATAAAATATATTTAAAACTACGTCCGTATGAGCCTCAAGAAAATGGAAAATATATATTTATGAGTGATCGCTTTTTCTTTCATTTATCGACGGCTGGCATCATAAGGTTGGCTGTAAAAGTGTATATAAAAATAAAATACAGTGGGGCAAGCTTTAATATTGTGAGTAAAAATTATCTTTAGTGCTGAATCACAAGCGCTTTCTTTATGTCAAATACAGTGAAATTTGTTGATTCTTTAAAAGTTAATTTAATGCGATTAATTCAAAACGAAAATTCAGCTGATAAAATATATGTAATATATTTAAATTTCTATGTATATTGTATGTATATTTGTACATACATAGTATATATGTATAAATATACGAAGATATGTGTGTATACATATGTATGTACGAGTTTATAAATTTCAGCTTTTAAAGAGCAGACAAAAATTGATATTCCATAAAATGCATTTAAAATGTGTACATAATATGTTGTATATCGTGCACTAATCACATACTCATACTTTGAGGTATGTAATATAACTATGTAGATATGTACATATACGATGTTTATGTACTTCAAAAAACGAAGTATTTTATAAAAAATCTTTTGTTTGAATATGAGAAAAAATAGTATGTGTTTATAAAACAGGAGTAATCATATTAAAAGCAAATACTGTATCATCAATTTATTGAAGTGCATAGGTATCCTTTTTTAATTCATACATATGTATGTAAATAACTTCTATGAATGCTAGGTATGTAATTTTATATGTAATTTTTTATTTACAAAATATAAAAACAACTTAAACTTCAAATATTTTATTAAAAGAGGCTTTATTTGATGTATCAAGAAATAAGAATAGGAGAAATATGGATAATATAAACCGAGTCATATAAAGGAAAGACTTATAAAATATGTCTTAGATCATTTTATAGTGAATATATATGTACATATATACGTAAATAAGAACACAATGTATCCCAATGGTTTCTAAATAAAATCCTTAAAATTAAAAAAAAAAACTTGAAACCTTCTGTTATCGATTTTGATAGAAGAAAAAAACATCTGTTCGATGAGAAAACTAAACATTCAAACAAAGCAACTAACTATACGTACATTCACATACAAATATACAAAAACATTTGTACTACATTTATGTATGTTTGTGTACACATGTACAGAACGAATATATGTATGTATGTTTACTAAAGTATCTTTGTATGTACATTTCTACATATGTACATATGTATGTGCATATAACTTTGGTGCATATACTTTGACAATATCGTATTAATAGGCTGAATTTAATATATCTAGTTACAACCTACGTTTTGCAAAAAATCGTTCTGTTTTAGAAAACGTCCATAGTTGTGCGTTTTCTATTAGGAAATTACCTCGATGATCTTCATTATTCGATTGGGGCAATTGGGGTCCTTTAATAAATAAGTGTTTTACATACACATATACATATAATATACGTATACTATATTTAAAATATATATTCCGTTAAAAATCCTTTAAATAAGCAAGTATCACTGTTGTATTTTTCTTGTCATAATATTATTCACTTATTTTTTTAATCTAAATATCGCTTTTTTTTAATTTAGGTATCACTGAAAATATTGCCCTATGTTCGTTAGTTAATTGGTATGCCTGCAGATCGTTAAATTCTACACCAAAACCGAAAATATTAAAAACAGCAGCTTGAATGGTTTAATTAGTCCTGTCTACAATTGCTGTGACAATGCTCATGAACATATAGAATATATTTTGGAATGAAAAATAGTGTGTGGAAGAAACAGCAGTAATATATATAAGAGAACGAACAAAAATTAATACATCCATGCGTTTAGCCAACCTGCCTACGATTTATTGACAAGTAGACAACCGAGTTTTGAATATATTGTTCAAAAAGTTTAAATTAAACATCTACAAGCAACAAACATGTGGTACATAGAAAAACTTAAATGATTTACATATCTCGATGTGTATGTTCCTTTGACGAAGAGAAATCATAGTGAAATAAATCGAGTTGAATATAATTTATTCGGATTTCCAAGAAATCGTTCTGACTATTTTCTCTTGCCAACCATACTTTCAGTTGTGGTTTGAATTATAAGTCTCACACCAACGAAATAGATAAAACTAAAGAAAATAAATAAAGCAACTTACAAAGAAACGCATAAACTGTGCATAAACTGTGCCAAACAAATTAAAGTTTAATTTGAAGTCCTACCACTAAAAAATATTACCATTAGATTATCAATATAAGAAAATTTATAAAACAATAATAGAACCACACGATTCCAAAAATTCACAAGGTTTACTTTTCCCATAGAGATCAGGGAATTCGGAATATACATTTAAGAAAAGAATAATTAAACAATATACCTCGCGTTAGCAAAATTCCAAATGAAAACATTACTTTTAAGTTCGGACGATATTCAAAACTTTAGGAAACTTATTTACGATCCAAAAGTGGCGAATTTGGGAACCTCCAGCACGGAGGACGCTAGTTTGATGGCGTTACAGTACTATCTCAAGCATCCCGGAAATTACACTAGCTCGGCTCCATCGACAGCAGCAATAACAACATCACAGGTTCAAGTGCAGCGATCTTCACAGCAACAACAGTCAACTTTTCCGACGACCGTCACCACAAACCACAGTGTTACCACTCCACAACAACAACCCAGTGTTGTCGTTACAAGTAGCAGCAACAGCAACGGTGTTAGTGCCCAAGCTCACGCTCACGGCCACCATCATTTACTAGCTCAATCACAGACACAACTGAAACAATTGCAGTTGAAACAGCCAACAATACATCAGCACCATCAACATGCTGCCAGCTTCCATCATCCATACTATCAACAGCATACATCGTCAACTCCCGCACATACGACAACTCATGCCACCCACGGCCACAGTTCCCACAGCACTGCCCACAGCCATAGCTACAGCCACTCGGTGCCTGTGCACGCACTCAATCAGAACTCAAACTTCTCAGCAGCAAGCAGTAGCACTGGAGGAGGGACAGCATCTAGTCACGCTCCCACTCAACAGTCAAATACAACAGGTTCCAGTCTATCTCCACCTGGAACGACAGCCAGCGCCCGTACTACACCCGCCAGTGGATCCAGCAGCTCAGGTGCATCGACTAACAGTACTGGCGGGACCAATGGTCGAGCAAGCGCTGTTAGCGGAGCAAAGAAACTGAAAACAGAACCTGTTTTGTCACAATTTCACCAAACAGAACGCCTGTCATTTGCCAATGCCCAGGTGACTTGGACTGAGGATCACTGGAGACGTGTTGTCTTCCAGGACGAAAGAAAATTCAACTTGGATGGTCCTGATGGATTTTCTTATTATTTTCACGATTTGCGCAACTATGAACGAACGCTGTCGCAAAGGCCCCGCGGCAACTCTGTGTACATATATCTAGTGATAACGGCTGGCGGCCCCATTCATTTAGAAGTTTCGACTGCAAAATTAAAAACAGAAACGTGTGTTGAGACCATTCTAAGGGAACGAGCTAATATTGTAGCTAAATTAGGAGGTAATGCCGATTTTTTCCTACAAGATCACAATTGGACCACAAATGCATTGCCCTCTGTTCAGGAGTGGCTTAATGCTGAGGGTATTAAAACCCAAAAGTGGCCAACGGTAGCGCACGATCTAAATATAATGGAGGGTATATGGGGCTGGCTTATACGAGAAGTATTCGATGGAGGTCGGAAATTTTCGCGTAAAGACGATTTGATATTTCGTATACGCGAAGCGTGGTCTCGACTGCCAATGGAATTGATAAGTAATTTGTATACAACGCTGCCAGAACGAATGACACAACTTTACTGTACCCGCGGTGCTTACACAAACTGTTGACAGCCGCTGGTGGTTGAAAGGTTTATCGACATCATTACTAACATTATCATCATCGTAATCCTGTGCAGTATGCTGGCTTTCTTAAGAAAATATATTCTTGTAAATATCAAATACACAACAAACAAAAAAAATGAAATTAAAAAATCTAATAATAAACAAACACATGAATAAGGGCGGGCCATATGAAAAATATTTCAATATAATAAAACTAACAATTTCATAATTAATCCATAAGTAATAGTTAAAATAGCAATATAAGAATGTTTCGCTATTGAATGAAGTGATAAATGAACAAATTTACAGTTCGTTCGTGGCGAAAAGCGCGCTTCGAATCGCTTGTGGGTGTTTTACACATACACCCACATACACACTCACTACATATTTTGATCATCTCAAACTCCTTTGCATACAAACACAAAATACTTACATCATACTAACTCTTAAACTTAATCTTAATCATACTTTCCGAATGAATGAATAAATAGCTTTAAGATGTGCAACAAAATATACATTTCAATTTTGTGGTACCAACAATGGATGATTCAATTATGTAATGAAATAACTCAAAACCCTCAATTGATGTTGTAAAAACTGAAATAAATAAGTTTTCTCAATACATTTTGTTAAAATTAATTAGCAATTTTACATCCTTCTTATTTATATTCCTTTCTCTTTAATCGCTTCACTTTACTTTCCCTCTCTTCTCTTCTTCCCTCTTTTTATACACCCTTCCTTCATTTTTCTACCAATTTCAAGTGAATTATAAAATATATTAGTATTTTAATAGTTTAATTTCTAGTTTATTATTTAAGTAGGAAACCAACCACCCTTTTCCAAATACATTTTGTAGCTTGTTTTTCCAATTTTATCATTATTATTTTTTATTATTATATTTACTATTATTTAAATTTTTGTATAACTTATTTTTTTTGTTTTCAAATTGTTTTTGTTTTTGGTTGCATTACAACAACAATTACTACTACTACTACTAAACGAACAAAATTATTAATCTATATATAAATATATGAATAAATTGAAGTAACTAAAGTATTAAAAAACAATTATAACAGAAAATTTAAAACAAAGAGAATTTTTGTAGGTATGAAAACAATGAGCTAGAGAAAATAATAAAACTTTAATATTAATTATTAAAACACAAAAACTGATGCTTTTATTATACTGAATTTACTGTAATACAAACAAAAAAAATAAATAAAACTACAACATCCATCAATATAAAGTAAAATAAAATATCATTAAAATTCAATTTGTTTAGAATAAACGAACAACACATGCAAAACCTATAAAACAAACAATTGCAACACCTAAATTATTAATAAACTAAATTGTGCGTTTGTTCAACTCCTTTACAAACAAAATAAGTCTACAATTACTAGAAAAATCAGGTTAAAATAAATGAAAGATTAAACTTAATAACCAATAGATATACAAAAAAGATACATACATGAATAAATACATAATACAAATATAGAGAGTATATAAATATTTAAATTACGAAAGAAGTATGAATAAATACATCAAATACATGCAAGAAATTATACTAATAATATATATATATATATATATATATATATATATATATATATATATATATATATATATATATATATATATATATCTTAAAACTTTCTCCAAAATACTAAATACTACTATTTTTTAAGGAATAGATACAATTATTTTAAGTTTTGGTAAAATGTGATTATGTTTGTTTAAGAAATAATGAGAGAGAGAATTTAACGATTTCAAAAACAAATAAAAATCAAATAAATTGCGATGAAATTAAAGCACCCTGAAATACGTAATCAAAAATAATGAAAATTGTGTTTTTTATATAAGATAATATTGTAACAGAAAGTACATTTTTTCGAATGCAAAATAATTTATATAATTCATCAGAGACGACAACTAACGAGCAGAAAGAATTCCGTTCGTTCATCTTCTTTTATGGTATCATAGGGAGTATAATGTTCACATATAAATTTCTTAAATTGGATCCAAAAATAAAAACTACTAAAGAAAATAACTTTCAACAACTTTCTATAAAACAAATATCATTTCAATGTGTTTGATTTCCATTTGCTGCATATAGTAGATGACTTTCGGAAAACTCTACATTAAATAAAAGTCCAACCTTTAAGGTTTGTTGGTCGATGAGTAAAAAACCTAATTTTATTGAAATATGTATGTATTATATAAAATACACTTGATAAATATAATTGCAAATTTTTAAAATATAAAAAGTAACATTATGGATTGATTCGTTACTGCTGTTTTATTGCATCACTTTAGCATAAAGACGACTCAAACTGGCGGCATATTAGACATAACTGAAGTTAGGCAGACAACCATTGACAGAAAGCTCATTATTTTATTCATTTCTTTTTCGGATGAAAAAAGTTGTTGTTCTGGGAATTTATTGTGTTTTGAATGATGAATTTTGTAATCAGCAACTATTTGTTTGCAATTGTTTATATTTTGTAGTGAATTTTATTTCAATGATTATTTGTAATTATATTAAATACGCTTTTAGTTACCACAGAATAAAAATTATTGTAATAATTAATACTTATTTTTTGTACAATAAATTTATGTATGTATGTATGTATGTATGTTCGATCTAACAGACACTTTTATGACAGTAAAGACATTAGTGTACAATAATGTATATTATGGGACATGTTCATACATTTCTATTTTTAGGAAATCTGGGCTTTTATTTAATGATGCTGTGAACACAGGCTGGGCTGCAGAATGGCATATTTTGTTTCACACAAAAGCGTCCACCAATAAGTGATTTACCACAACCATTCCCAGCACATATAAAACATGAATCATGCCAATGAATGTCCCCCCATGCGACACCTTGATCAGATGGTCCAATTGGTTGGGAGCAGCGCTGACAGGCAATTGCAAAATATTCATCATAACACTTAAGACACAGAGGCATATTCGATTTTTCATCCGGAATGTATTGTTGACCGGCCAGCGGCAAATCGCAGTGATAGCAACAAAAGTGCTTTATGTGGAATGTTGCACCTTCAGCGGCAGTGTATTCTTTAGTAAATATTAGTTCGTCACAAGCCTTACAACGCGGAATTTTTAACTTTAGGGCCAGATCACGACCACAAAATACTTGACCTCCATGGAAGAAATAAACCAGATCTGCAAGAAGTTCGCGACAAGTATAACATTTAAAGCACTCCGGATGCCAGGCAATCTCTTTTCCTGCTCGTTCTGCCTTTACTGCAACTTCGCCAAAGTTAATCGTTTTTGAGCAATCACGACATTTCAACATAGCTGTCGGTGGTTCTACGTTAAATTGTTTATTTTGCCGCTGAGGATGTTGTTCGGTAAGCGACAGGCCTTTCATTCCTTTCGACACCTCAACTGTTGGGTACATATTCATCTCTTGAATTCCTGGTATGGACATAAGTTTACCACTTAATGCGTTTACTTCATCAGTATATCCCTGTGGAATTGTGCTCTGAATAGGTGTCGATGGTTTGGAATCAAATCCGGAATCAGAGCTTTTCGAAACACTCAATGCCTGTTGTAAGCCCATATTTAACGGCGCATAGGCTACATCTAAACTGTTGGGCAGTGAGGTGACATACTCACGCACCTCCTCATATAAAGGACGATTGATGTGCAATTCCTGTCCCAATAGCTCAAATGGTTTCAATAGCTTACATTGATCATAATTAATGTTCTTTTCTTGTAGATCTGAAAAAAGTCTCTCATAAAAGGGCGCATTTAAAACGGCACTTTGCAACATATCAGTTGATTCAATGCCAAGTTGTTTAAGTTTCTCCTTAACTGGATCACTTAAATTCATTTCAGCAATGCCGCGGGACGACATGGGTATTGACGTGGTCATTAAAACCGATTGAGGTTTCTTCGTACTCTTGGCAATTTGCACAGCCTTTTTCAATGGTTCCGATCGAATAATTTTTGCAAAAATTGGATCGCGTTCATAATCCACATTCGGTGGCAAATTGCAATCGTATACAATAGTCGATGCATTTCCAAACTGAACCTTTCGAATGGGAGTATCTTGCAACATTTGTGACCCTGATCTTAAATTTGCTGCCGTTTTCAAGGGCAAAGGAGAATTAAATGATAAATCGTTGCTAAATTTCGATGGTGTTTTTAAAGGAGAATTGAACGATGATTGGTTAGAGGGCATTTGTGTACCAAATGCATTTTCTACTTCTTTTTTAGCAAATGGGTTACATAAATATTCCTTACGAAGATCGGAAAGTGGTCCCAAACGAGGATCTCGCGAAATGTCCAAATTTTTTTTCTACATTAAAAAAAATGTGTCACTCCTTTAATATAATACAAAATTGAATACTTACTTTTAAAACTCCAAAAATTTTGTCATATATCGGACCATTAAGTATTAGACTTTGTACAGCAGCTTCATTTAGTCCTCTGAGTTTTTGCTTAATTGCAGGCGTCAATTTCGATTCAATTTTTGCACTAAATGGTGCATCGCATATTGCTTCCGAGAATACTACAAAAATTTTAGGATAATCACAGGGCAAATTTTCTGTAATGGCTTTTGCAAGTTTTTCATTGGATAAAATCGTTGAAAGAGTCTCATCAACAACAGGTGTTTCTTGCAAAGCATGCATTACCTCGGCATATTTGCCTTCAACTTTATTGGGAGTGCTTATAGTACCTAACATAGCATTCGCATAGTTTCCAACACGAACTACACTGCCCTGACCCACGCAATTGTCTCGAATCTTTTGAACATATTGTTGCAATTGATCTGCCTCGGATTCAGTAAGATTATCGCAAAAACCTGCATCCAAGTCGTGAGGGGGAACCTGAAACTCCAACTGTTGTTTTCGCTTAGCGGCAGCTTCACTGCCGGCAACCGGTACATTTGCACTACCTAATTTCTCCATGTAATCAGCAGCAAGATCCGGTGCTATATTAGGTGGTATCCATTCGACTTTAACGGGTTGGTTTGCCAAAGTTTTAATTTTGATGACTTATAAAAGAAAAACGAGAGCATATGGATATGGACAACCTAATGTAACGAATACTCTTCAGGAAATAGATACATATAGTATTATTACTTACAAGCAGGCTTTGAACGAATTTGTCCAAGTATCTCAAATTGAGCCCAGCCCGTTACTTCGTCATCCGGACACATATGCTGATCCTTTCGGCACTTGCAATTACGACAAACCTTACGCCAAAAATGCAAATCTAAGCCGGGGCACTTAACGCCACACTCGTTGCAAGGGGCACCAGCTCCGGCTTCATGGCCCAGTTTAGCCCTTTTCAATTTCTCCCGCCTGTCTTCCAGCTTTGACAACCAATCCGGTGCAGCTGGAGTTTCCACGCACGAATTATTATTGTTATTATTGCTCATATTTCATCAACAATATTCTTCTAGTCACTGATCACTTTACAATTATTGACTGCACTATTCTAAACCAGATTTGTTTTATTTGGCAGAGTTGCCAATAAAAACCAAGTCTTTGTTTTATTTATTTTATCCATTCATCTGTCAGTTTTCTGCTTTTTCAATTTTTAGGATATGATATATTACACAGTATGTACACAGTATTATAAATTATAATTCGATCCAATATTATTCAAATTTTTATTTAAATATAAATATCAAAACAAAATGAATCTGAATATCTGTTTTCATATGTATACTCTTCTTCTTTATAGACATAATGCCAACGATGCCAACTATTCGTAATCACCATTAAAACGTTAATATTCAAATTGATAAAGTGAAATAACACTAGTAAAAGAAAATTGTTTTTCATTAACTATTTACCCCTAAAAAAATCTAGAGTCGTAAACGTTTACTTATTAAACGTATTGTTAAGGTTTTATATTTGATTTGTCATCCCCATTTCAATGAACTACAAATTGATTATGAAGGTGATAAGTTATTTGATTACGTGCAAAAATCCCAAAAAATGGTATGTTAACAGCCTGTTTTGTAAAACCATGTTTTAGAAAACCACGACTTTCTATTGCTGGGTAGTGCAATATTTAAAACCCGATTAACACGAAATTTTCGAGTAGATAATTTTTTTTTTTACTTATTCTTAGGGCGAATTATGTGTTATTTTATATTTCCTAACAGCATTTAATTTTTGTATAAATAAATCTCCAATTTCAAATCTAAATCATTGACTGCCATATTCATAACAATTTACCAGAGGTTTATAGAACAAAATTTGTCTTATAAACCTTTGATAAATTGTTATGAATTCATAAGAATAGATCTCCTCGCCCGAAAAATGTTTATAACCTTCACTACAATGAAACGGTCTCCAGTTTGTAATTTCCACATTTTTTGATTATTATAGATATTGAAATAGATTTTGCAATAATAATTTTTCGGTCATTAATGTGTCTCTCATTAATTTTTAATAGAACAAATAAAATCAGTAATAAGAAGTGTTTTAGGCGAATATTGACTTTTATTGGACAAATATTTTTTATATAACATTTAGATATATGTATGTATATTTATTGCATTTTATTTTTTGCATTATTTATGTATATTAATATAAATATATATGTATTTATATAATTTTCATTTTTTATGTATGTATATGTATTATTATTATTATTATTTTTATTTGTAAAGAAATGTTTATTTAGTTATAAAGTAATTATATTTGTGGGATTTCGATTCGTTATTGTAGAAATATTAACTTCTTATTTTTTTTTTAATCCATTCACTTTTTTCAGCGAGTTTATTCTTTTACGTTTGTGTTATTTAGAAAATATAAGAAATTTTGAATTGAAGTCAAAAAGTACATCTATCAATAACATTTCATAATGTGTCCCTTATTTGATAATATTGTACGTTTTGTTTTCTTCTTTTAATTAAATTATTTTCTTCATATGTGTATGTGTTTTAAGAATCTGTTAAATTTTATTTTTTTTTTTATTATTACAAGTATTTTTTGTTTGGTTTTATTCATAAATTGTATTTATTAGCAGTATTTATTATTATATGTTTATTAAATTTAATAACTCAACTTGGATGTAGTTGGTTTTTATTGGTTTTTAATTTAAACGCTTTTTTAATTTTATTTTAATTCTGCATACATATGAACATATGCACATAGATTCATACATACATATGTATAATATACATATACATATTATATGTGTCTACATTCTCATAAAGGTTTTAGCATAATATTTCCCGAATTCATCTTTTAAATTTCAAACTAGGGCGACTTTTGAAACAAATGAAATCGGATATCGGAAAATTGTATTTTAAAATGATGTAATTCTTGTTGCGGCTGCTCCCAATCTGTGCTTTTCTATTTTACATACTTTCATATGTATACTTATATGTATGTTAAATTTTATAATTTTAGATCTAATGTTTATTTAATATAAATTTTTGTCAATATTCAATTGTAAATATATAGTAAATTTCATTTTTTTTTATAAATATAAGTAGTTCATCATGTTTTTAAGGGTCCCTTAATCAAGGGCTTGTTAGAGTTTTATCTTAATTTATTTAATCTCTTTTAATGTTTATTTATAATTATAGTTTTCTTGTTTTGTTTTCGTCTATTATTGTATTTTTATAAGACTTAAAGTCTTTTAATTTTAGCATTAATTCAATCCGTGATTTAAACTAAGTGGTAATGTTTAATATTAAGAAGAGCATCAATTAAAAATGAAATTTTTAAAATGTTAATTTTACACTGTGCGAGAAGGAATAAGGGAATGTAGGTCCCGTCAATATGTATTTTTTTTTATCGAAATTAAAATATTCATATGCAAAAAGAATTAGATACTGGTACAATTGACCAACATTTGATTGAATACAAAATGCTGATGCTGTTAAGATGAGTATGTTGTGATGTTATTGTTATAGTAGTTGATTCTGTTGTTAATTTTACTGTACTGTTGTATTGTACTGGTGGGGTTATATAGGGTGATTAGATTAGGGCCAATTCAAATGTATTGTACTGGAAGAAATGGTAACTTACCGACATGAAGAGTATTAGAATGATTTGCGGGTCTGTAAAATATGAGAAATATTTACTAAATAATTAAAATAAGGGGAAAATACTAAAGTATATAAAATGTTTACAAACAATATATGAATGAGTGTGCTATAATACAAACTAACACATGTATGTTTGTGTGCGAACATTTGTCTATTGATGTAAAGAAGTGTGGAAATTTTTAATACCTTACAAAAAGTAAACTAGCAGTTGCGGATGAACGTTGATTGGTAATCGAAGTCGAAGTAGTTGATGCCAATAATGTTTTATTGCTATCGAAAGTACGATGGAGATTATTGAAGGGAGATATTGTTGTTTCAACTAACGCCGCCTCTGAAGTGGTGTTGGTATTTTTGAAACATGAATTTTTTTGATTTGTAATATTTGTTATGTTAGTGTTCTGAGTTTCATTGTTTGTAGTAGATATTGGTTGATTTTGGACAAGAGACGGTGGGAAGATTTGTGTTGGTATTGTCATTGTACGTAAAGTGGGGCTAATATGTGAATTATTTGTTAGTGGTGTTTCTGTTGCTGCAACAGATGTTACTGTTGTGGATGATGATTGTGTTTGTAATGTCTGGTAAGAAGAGCTTCCAGATGCAGTGGCCATAAAAATTGAACCGCTAAGATTAGAATTTATCGAGTTGTTAGTCGAATTTGAAAAGCCTGACTTTACGTCAACTGAGGCGGATAAGTGAGACAAGTTTCCAGGTTTTAACACCGCGGAAGAAGTTGAAAAGGATGAAATTGAAGGGCAACGTAATCTCGAAACTGAATTGTTATTATTTGTATTTATTTGTTGCTGCTGTTGCAGTTGTTGTTTTTGCGATGAAAATATATTTCACCTGTTAACATGACTACGGTTTTGATTTTGATTTGGATTTATGCCGCCATTATTTGGTGGCTGAATACCAGAAGCTAAAATTAAAATTATTGAATTAAAATGCATGTTCAATCTTGGCATTATTTCTTACCTCCATAACTTGATGTGGATGCCGCATTTGGGTTCTGATAATAATCACGTCTGTTGTAATCGTTTGTCTCATATTCAACCGTTTCGTATGGAGCTCTAGCCGAATTCAAAGTGTTGATACCAATACCCGGCGTCTGAGGGCCGTGGGGGTTATGTCCAGCTGGGGTTTGTGTCGCTTGCCCTGTATATGTGGCATATGAATCGTATGAATGAGGTGCTTGATGGTGGTCATATGGCGGATTATCGTCGTAACCGCGACTATTAGTATGAAAATAATAAAAATTAGAGTATGTGTTTATAATGTCAGTAAAGTAATAATTACCCGTACGTTTCCTCCATTGCAGAACGTGCCTTTTCTAATATTGACATGACTTTCTGCTTGGGTGCTATATTGGTTTTGTTATATGACGTTACTGTGGATGAAGTTGGGCCAACAGCATTTTGGCTAGAAGATCTATATGGAGTAACATTTTTCGTTTGATTTGCCAATGAATTTGAACAGGATGGTCCCAATGAGGCAACAGCTGCGTTAGGTCCGCCTGTTAATATTCCAATGCCACTACCGCCACCGGCTGCACCCACTTGATATGGTGAAACTTTTTTGTTGAAGTTTAATGATTTTTGCTCATCAGAAATATGTGTGCTGTCCATAAGTTCCCGTAATTGCTCTTGTCTAATTACGTCGTTACTATCCGGTATAAGATATTTGCGCAATTCGGCCATTGCATATGCTACTCGAGCATAAGCTTCTGCTGGAGGAGCTACTGTAGATATTTCCACATGAAGATCACTGTTCAGATGAGAGTATTTAGGGTCTTTAGAATTGCGAAGTTCCTCTTCTTTAACACGGTCCCTCATTGAATTGCGCCCTAAAACTGTCATTTTACACATTGTTTCCTCTTGCAGTCTCCGCAAAGAATTTCCTTTCGGCCCCAACAATTTGCCCACAAAATTAAACTAAAATGAGTCAATTTTAATCTTTAAAACTAATTTTATGATCGAATTATACCTTAGGATGCTCTCTAATTGGAACTAGAACTTTCTGTGATACCCTCAAAGGCTTCTCACGATATATATCGGCATATTTCTGTTCCCTCGACGGTAGACGTCCTGTTGTCTGAACTTTCTCAATTTCTAGAAGACATTTTCAAATGATAAGTAGAGGGAATGAATAAATTCAAAGATCCTTTTTACCCGTATCTAAAAGTTTCTCAGCTATTGGAAATTTACGATCCATACGAGATTTTTCGTTTAGACAGTCCCTAATATAATCGTTTGCCTTTTCATTGAGGTAACTATTTTCACCTGGAGTCATATTTGTATTCGTGCCATGATGATGAAGATCTCCATGATTATTGTCGCCATTGTGCGGCCCTGTAGCTGTCATTTTACGCTGCTTTCCATATTCGCTTTCATCCTCAGCGTAATTGGAATATTCACCATTACCTTCGTAGGCATTGGCCATTTTTGTCTTACTCCCAAGATTATTTAGATCACTATAATTTTAATTTGACTTGTACTTCTAACAATTGCAAGATAATAATCTGTAATAAAATTCAGTATTTTTCATTTTATTACCTACAACCAAAAAATTTTACTTATTTTCTCAGGATGTAATAAGTACATATTTAGATATTAGATACCCTACTACCTCCCCGATAAACCCTACCCACATCCAAATAAACAAAAATTATGGGCAAATGTCGACACCAACGTACATTTTTTCCATTGTCTGAACTTTAAATACAAGAACTGATTGACCACTTATAAATTTTAATATGTACTTGATAATAAGTATGTATTTTCCTTGTCTAATATCTATGTACTTTAATTGGAAATGCACTTTCACTTTTCCTTCAAATACCAGTTCTCCGTGAGACTTTTATTTTAATTTAATGGAATTTTCAGAAACATTTAAACATAATTCCAATTAGTTTTTTTATATTCTTTGACACTATATTCATACTATTTTTTATATTTTCTAATAATAAATTTAATAGAAAATACCTTAAAAATATTGCAATTTCCTGAAATACTTCATTTGCGTCGGCTTCGATTTTTTTCCTTCAATTCAAATAAAAAAAAACAGGATGACCAGTGATGATAATCTTGCGATTTTGCCACCAGCGTTGTCAACTTTTTAGTTTCGAAAAACACCAAACTCAGGAAAAACGCTTATCTTTCATATAAAAACACTGACAGAAATATTGTAATATTTTCAAACTCAGTGTTAATGTTAAGAATATTTTTTGGAATAATAACAGAAATTAATATAAGGTAAGCGAGCGAATATTAGCCATTCAAATTCGATTACAACACAAAGTATACAGATGTGTCAGTTTTGACATTTTAGATTAATATTGGCCAAATATCAAATGAAATTTCTCAAATTATATTTTTTTTTTTATGGTGAAGCACTATTATCGTAGCACAATTTAATTTAAGAGCTGCAGTCGTCAAAAATATTTAAAAGCACTAAAAGCTATATATTGATTTCGAAGTTTATCACCCATATTCAATTATTTGAATTACTGTTGATTCAAATGGATTAAACAATTTTCAAATTGTTACAGATTTTTTATAGTAAATATTCCGGAGTTTTTTTTTAAACATTTATGAGTGTAAAAATCAATCAAATATATTTTCATATTTTTAAAATACAATTAAGGGTTAAAATAAAACTGTCAATGGCGTATTGTCAGCGATTTTTTTTTTGACATCTTAGGAATCCGGTAACACTGGCTGCCATCAAATTTGTTTTGTTAACTTTTCGTCAAATCTTTTTCCCCTAGTTATTTTTACTTATTTATACCGCCATAAAGTAAATTATACAAAATGTCCAGTGAGAACCTATTTGAAGAAGATTTTTCAGAAGAAATTATTACTGAGTTGGAACAGGAGTATGTAGCGGAATCTCTTAATGCAGATCGTGACGAAACAAATGAAGTTGATCTTAATGTCCCTGAATCCAGTAGTGCAGAAGTTGAATCTAATAAAAATGGTAATAGTTTAATTATTTCTATGAAGTTGTCACGCTAAAATATCGATTTCATATAATAGATAACAAGGTAAATCCAGCGACAACCGATCAGAAGCTATTCCAATTGCCTTTGACACGCATCCGCAATATTATGAAATTGGATCCCGACTTACATATAGCATCCAATGAAGCTGTATTTTTAGTTACGCGCGCAACGGAATTATTCATTGAATCCCTTGCCCAGGAGTCTTACAATTTTACTCTTGAATCGAAAAAGAAAACCATACAGAAACGTGATGTTGATTTAGCAATAGACGCAGTTGATAGTCTTATGTTTTTGGACGGTGCGATGACATTTTAAATGGAATATTCTACTTTTTTCCCTTACCATTCTTAGTTACCAATATTTTAAAATAAATACAAAAAAGAAAACATTTTTATGAGTTGGCTTTTTTTAATAAAATTTTATTACTTTATTTAATAAAAATGTGGATGCTTTGTATAGAACTTTATGTATTTGTATCATATACAAACATTTAAAGCTTTTATACTTACATTTGTCCACATAAAAATAACGTTCGATTACTACACCAGCGCCAAGCAGTTATTGTCGCTGCGCACTTCTCTTGGGAACAGGTCATTTGTGTTGTTGATGTAATTTATACAATTTATAAATTCGAATAATATACTGTTTTTATTGTGTTTTGTTGTTTAACTACTTAAATAAATTTATTTTTTATTTCATGTTTTATTTATTATATTTTTTTTAATGTTGTATTTTGTGTGAAGAAATAATTTTTTGAAGATTTCGTTTTTTATTATATTATTTATATTACTTATTTTTTTAATTTTGTTAAGTTTAAAATTAGATATACGTTGCTTTTTAGTTTTTACAAACAGGTTTGTTTTGATATTTAATTAGGATTACATTAGTTAGTTGCATACGTATAATTCATATTAATTTTCGGTTCCTTTTGAAGCCCCTAATAAAGCGCAATAACACGACGGTCCTTGAACGCCTTTGCAATTTAAACATCAATTGGATATTTAATAATAATTAAAATCCAAAAGCAAAAATGGCGCCTATAACTGTATTATATACTGTAACTGTATTATATACTAACCATTAATAATCACAATTATTTTAACTTATCAGTAGCTTAAATATAAAACCACACAACGTACCATTCGAAATTTTAGCAGATAATCAAAAATAACGTATAATTTGGCAGATAGGTGATTTTCTATTTAAGCTAACGATATTAAATACATTAAATTAAATATATGATTACATCTTTATTTCCCGGAGCGAATGCAATTAACTTAATGTCGGGTTTATGGGAAAAAATAATTACATTTTATTTATTTAAACATTATATTTTGTTTTGCAATAGTCTATAATGATAAATTTAAAATAATTTAGTTGTTCTTTTGTCTTTTTAATTAAAGTTTTCTTTATATTTTAGGTTTTAATAATTATTTGTAACCAGTTATGTATTATGTTTGTTAGGTTTTGATGACATCCATCAATATATTGCATGTATGTAGTTGGAGCTTCAGTTATTTAACAGATTTTATTTGTTTTTGCTTTTAATTCATTTTGTTTTGTGTTGTTCAATTTTAATTTTTTGATGTTAACGTATTTTTGGATAGGGAGCTGAACGATAACGAACACTTTCACGGGAACGTGATCCACTAGTCTCATAGTGTGATGAAGAATGTGATGTTGATGTTGTTGGCCGATATGCAGACGACGAAGAACGGCCATTACTTGTTTTAGCTAATTTAGAAGAAGAGTGAGTTGTTGGTTTGGTTTTATTTTTTATTGGATTTTGTTTGTTTTTATTTGTTTTTATTTAATTCAATTAATTAATTGTTTGATTTGATTTTAAGTTTGTAGTTTTATGGCATTAATTTATTTTCATTTTTAAATTGAATTGATAAAAAATATGAAAAATAAAGAAAGTTGAGATATGGATCTACAAATTGTACAAATCCTTCCTTTTTTATATAGAGGATTATTTGTATAGTAAGAATTTTATGAGGACGTGTATCTGATTTGATAAACGCGTAAAAAGCACAATAGTGACATTTTCGGACACAAACTTATTATAAAAGGTTTGTAGATTGGCTACAGCCAGATTTACTATTTTTTTTATTAAAGTTATGTATAAATTAAATAATTTGCCATTTCCTTCTGCGTTAACATTTTGCTGTATAAATTTAATAACTGTTAATTTGGACGGAGCAGTAAGAACGATTGTGGCCACAATTTAACGAATTTAAATATTTAACATATTTTTTGTATAGTGCTTTTTTATATTTTGTAAGTTTTAGGTTTATTAAATTTCAATAGTTTTGTTACACGTTTCTTTTTATTTTTCAGTTATTGTTAAATATAAAACAAAAACGAAAATTAATTTTTAATTTAAATTCGTTATTAATTGGTTTGCATTAAAAACATTCTTTGTTCTTTTGTTTAGTTAATAACTTGATTATTATTTGTAATTCGGACGTTATTTTCATTCAATTCAATTTGTTTATTTAGATATATATGATTTAAAAAAGTTTTTCGACACGTTTAAATGTTGGGTTTATTTTCGTAGAATTTCTCTGTAACATAAAACTTTTTTTGGAAATTTAAAAAATAAACTTACCTGCATAAGCAGCTGCTGCATATGATGACGAATGAGGGTGGTAATCACGTCTGTAGTCACGCTCGTATGATGAACTTTCATATGGAGCATGATGTGTACTTGAATGCTTTGAAGAAGATGGTGGTGGCGGTGTGCCGTAGCGATCGTACTCACTTGGGTGATCATATAGATCATGATCTCGAGACCTGCAAATTATTTTTATTTTTATGAGGCTGAGTTATAAGGAATGGTAATCCCGTTTTACTTACCTATGGGACTTTATCATAGTATAACTTGGATCCTCCATAACATAACGGGCCTTCTCCAATATGGAATATACTTTTGGTTTGGTTGACTTGTCAAATGATGGTGGTGGTGGTGGAGTTCTGAGGGAATATAATGTTATTATTTGCTAAAAATGAGTACAAATTTTGTCATATTCACCTGCTGCCATATGTAGCTGAGTGGTCTCCATACGTTTTCGCGTAATGAGACTTTTTATATATGCGATCTTTTCCGTCCAATTCGCGCATTTGTTCAATCCGTATGTTGTCGTTCGCATCGGGTATCATGAATTTTCGTATCTCTGCCAAAGCGTACGCCAACCGATGGTACGCTTCAGATGGTGGAGCTACTGTGGATATCTCCACATGGAGATCTCTGCTTAAGTGTGCATACTTTGGATTCCCAGAATTACGAAGTTCCTCTTCTTTGGCATGATCTCGCATAGAATTGCGCCCTAATACAGTCATCTTACAAAAGGTTTCTTCTTGTAATTGTCTCAAAGTATTCCCTTTCGGTCCCATTATTTTGCCAACAAAGTTAAATTTTGGATACTCCTTTATGGGAAAAAGTACTTTTTGGGCTACTCTAATAGGTTTTTCATTGTAAACATTAGCATACACCTCTGGTTTCGGTATCCGTCCACTAATTAAGATGCGTTCAATTTCTACATTTCCACGCCCCAAGTGAAATAGAAAGAAAAAACACGTATACAAACACATGCGTACATACATACAATGATAGGTACAAATCCAAAATGGTGGATTAGTAAAAATGAATAGGAAAGCAAAACATTGAAAACTTACCGTCATCCAAGAGCCTTTTACATACATTGTACTTATTGGAGTCCAGTAAGCTTTTTTCTTGCACACACTCCTCTAAATAGGCTGCAGTTTTCTCATTGAGCGGCGGGGCATCGTGCTGTACTGCAGTTTGCTGGGCTTCGTCTCCATCGATTCCGGTCTCCGCTTTTATATTTTCCTCATCATTACGTCTTTTACGTTTATAATCCGAAGTATCTTCACTTGTGTAATCACGGTCATAATCACGCGGCATCTTTTTGTTTTTTATAATTTTTTTATATTTCAGCAAAAGATTCTCCTCTTTTTCACTTTACAGAAATAAAATGTGTATAATAACAAGCAGAGCCCTGCGCCGACAAATAAAAACAGCGGCGGCTGACACTAAATATGTCGGCGGCAGCTTAAAATCGACTGTAAGCCGGCTAAGTTTTCAACTACGTTTAGTTCAAGGCGAATTCACATAAGGTTGTGTTATTCAATCAGCTGATTACTTTTCGCCTAGTTTTCGTAGCTGTCAAAGTTCGTTAATTTTTACATTTTTGCATTTCAAAATTTCCGTTAAACGAAGAAAAACTTCGTTAGTATTTTGAATTATTTATGTAATAAATGTTATTTAAGAAAAAAATGTTTTCTATTAAAGCTACGTTCACAATGATAGAGTACTCCAGCACATTGTATTTCTGTTTCTTTTTATCAACAATATTTGAAATTTGACTATCTCGTTTTAATTCACTCACACAGAGTAGAGTACTCTGCCATTGTGAACGTAGCTTAAATGTTAACATATTAAACAATATATTTTTTACTGCTACTACCTTATGTAAATTCGCCTTGGCAGGATTGAAGTAAAAGCAGAGACCCGAATTAGGCGCGTAAACAAGAAAAATTCTGAGGCGAAGCATATACAACCAACGGTTAGTAAAGTTTTACACCGCCCAAGTTTTAATGAGCGGCTTATTATTAGATAAAAGAAAACTTGCTTAAATGAAAACAAAATAATTTTATATTGCAAAATTCCATAAATTTAGCGAAAGTATTCTGCAAATTATACAAAATATGGCGAAATTTTCAAGCCGTATTAAGCTGAAAAATTTTCGGCGGCGGCGGCTTTGACATTTAGTTCGGCGACTAGGCTTAGTCGGTTTAAAGCTGAATCGCAAAAGACAACTCCAGCTACAGGCTGTACAGAGCCGCATCATATATTTAAGTTAACCCCGTTAATTTAAGTATTTTAACCCTTAAACACCTAACGTCGGCCACAGTGACCCCACCATTATATTTTATTACAAAGTAATTAAAGCGTTAGAAGAATATAAAACTTTTGTTAAGTCCACTTTATTGATAAAACATTTGTATGTGATGGAGATTTTTTAATTAAAATTTAATTTTTAAACTAAAAAAGTGACCGACATAAGGTGGTCGCTTAAAAAAGTTTAAACGGCGTTCAAAAATTTTTGCGTACATGTATTTTTTTTGCAAAAAAGAGAGTATTCTGACAGTTGAATCGCCGTTTTTCTGTTGAGAAATGACATCGCTATTATAATTGATTTAAAGTGAATAGCACATTTAAAATAGAAGAAGCATTATCCTTGGTGAATTTTATGTATTTTTTCTTCCTATTAATTATTGACATTACACAAGCAGAATATTGTTAATTTCATTTAAAATTGTTGAAAAAAATATACATATTATATCGTTTTGTGCTCTGATATTGGGAATAAGAACAAAGTGAACAATATTACGCGATTTTAATAGCATTCAGCACTTTAAAATAATTGTGTTTAATAGAGCTTTTCCGGGGTTTGATTTTGTCTCACATATTCACTCTTATGGCGGAAAACGGTATGCGTGTGGGAATGGACCAGTCGAATGATGGCGGCGGTGGCAGTGGTGGAGGGGGAGGAGCAACCGTTAGCAATGGTCACCACCATGATCTTGAACATGGCACTGAGAAATCGTCAACCACACGTCTAAGTGAGGCGTCCCAGAAGTATATGCAAGAGCTGTTAGTGGAACGTGCAAAGTTGGAAAATAATTTCCCTTTAGCTGTGAAGTTAATAGATGAAGGTAGTATATAAGAAATCAGCATCAAATATTTAATTATCTGTATCTTGTAAATGTATATAGCTTTAGAACGTGTGCAGCTGAATGGCCGTATTCCTGCTAGGGAGCAGTATGCAGACGTTTATCAGCAAAGGACTATAAAACTTTCGCAAAAAGTTCATGTGCCTATAAAGGATAAAAAGGTATTTTGTCAATTTGTCCTATTAGTAGTTTCTTTATATTTATATTGTTTATTTATGGGACAGTTCAACTATGTTGGCAAGCTTTTAGGTCCAAAAGGCAACTCGTTGCGTCGCCTACAGGAAGAAACTCAGTGTAAAATTGTTATTTTGGGCCGCTTTTCAATGAAGGATCGTGCTCGTGAGGAGGAATTGCGCAACTCGGCTGATATAAAATATGCCCACCTAAATCTGCCACTACATGTCGAAGTTTCTACCATAGCACCACCGGCAGAGGCTTATGCCCGTATAGCATATGCTTTGGCTGAATTAAGACGTTACTTGATACCAGACAAGCATGATGACATACGCCAGGAACAATTTAGAGAATTAATGGAGGATCCGGAAGCAGCCAAAAAGATAACAATGCGTCAACAACAACAACAACAGCAGCAGCACCAACATCAACAAACTGGTATTGGCCAAGGGGCTGGAAGTATTGGGGTTGGTAACAACAACATCAATAGTGCCATTTCTGGTGGTGGCAGCAATAACAATAATCATCGTTCCAATAGTTCATCGAATTATAGGTAAAATAGGCATTATAAATAAGCATATGTATGCTATTTCCGTTCTAATCATTGAAATTTTCCATTCATTAGAAATAAATACCAACCACAATCTCAACACTATCATCACAATGATGAGACTGTATACTATCGATCCCATAACAATTCGTACCACCAACCAAAACCTTACGTGCCAGGTAATATTTTGAATTTTTTAAATAAAACTGAGATTGAAAACTTAACAGCTCTGAAATTGAGCAATTTGTGGTATTATACCGAAGACAAAGAGTGCAAGACCGTACATTGCAATTTCACCAATTCCAATGTGTTACGACAAAGTAAAATTGAAAAAATTCAATTAAAATTAATAGATTATAAGAAACAAGGAAAGCAAGATTTTAAGATTCTGTATGGAAACCACAGTTTTTTATTCTTCAAACATAATTTTTAATACTGTTTTTCGTTCTCGTATTATTAATTGAAATATTTTAACGAAAACAAAAAAAGTAAATTTGCCCTTTCTTGAAACTTTTCCAAATTTAGGGGGGGGTGCTTACAGATCAATAATATTTATTGTATGAATTGAAGAGATGATCTATGCCTTGAAGTTCATTAGAAGAGCGTAAAGAAACTATTGATTGTATATGTTTATTGAGTAAAAGTGATTCGAATTAAAAATAACTTCCTGTATAGCACTATTGTAATATATTGGAATATCATGGCCTCTCAAGTTTCTACATAAATTCTTTCATATATTTGATTTATTTTCAGGTAACCAACGTGCAAATCCCATGCACTCAGCAATACCACCACAAGCTACTATTGTAGGAGCTTCACCGACAGGAATGCCAGTTGTTAGTGCAGCCAATTACAGTGGGCGTGGTCCTGGTATAATACCGAACAGTCCAGCTGCCGCTGCAGTAGTTGGGGGTTTAAATCCAAATATACGATATCGACCATCCCAACTGCCGCCATATCAATTTGCTAAGAAATAATTTTTGAATTGCTGTAAAACAGCTCAAGATTGTGTTTATTCAGTTCTATGTTGATGTTTAATTTAATTTTAGTTTTTTATTTTTTTTTATTTTTAATTTTTATATTTCATATTATACATTTTGAAACATTTTGTTTGTTACCAATTTACAATACGCAAAAAATACTAAATACTAAAGGTGTGTTTTATATTTTTTCAAATATATGCATAAAAACACACCCAAATACGATGTCATAAAAATAATACACACTATATTTAACACTAGAGTGCTCCATACTTTTTATGCGCTACATGAACGTACACAATATTAAGGAAGAACGTATCTGGACAAAATTTATATGTTGGTTATCTCGAAAGAACTCTTATCATTCAGTGTTGATAATATGTATTATACAGTTTAATATTTAATTATTGTTTCGAATAGAATTGTTCATTTAATCCTTTTTATGTTTTTCCTTTTTTTCATTTTCATGTATTTTTTATTTCAGTTAAACTACCATTGTGTGTAAATATTATCAAAATTGGACGGTGAATGTTTCAAGATTTCCTATAAGTATATCAATATCAAATACATGACCATGTGGAACTGAGTCGAAATTGTCGTAGGGTGTTAAAAATTAACGACTGACATCTCCTTTCATTACATTTAGGTACGTTGACTTGTCTCATTAATTAAATTTTCTATTTTTCATACATTAATGAAGAACTCTGATATACATACATAAATACATACATACAAACAAACATACCATCAAACTTACGTGCATACATGAATACATCGTGTACATATGTATACATATTGCATACACATATACATACATAAGTACATAAATACATCCACACAAACATGAATACTTTTTGAAACAACATTTAATGTAGTTTTTTATTATACAAACTTGTTTTTATTTCATTGATTAATTGATCGATTAATGATTATACAATTATAATACATACATGCATAAATAATATTACTATTATTACTATTACATACATATTTTATTTTATGGTTTGTTATTTAAGTGTTTTCCCATCTCTTTAATTATTTTACAAAACCAAGGAAAATATAAATAATTTTAATAATTTAAAAGTTAATGGTTAAAAACAAAAAATAGTTATGAATCAACAATAAATATTTGTGTTTATATTATTATGATTGCTGAAATGTTGCAACAAGGGAGAGGTAGACGTAACCAAGTCATTGCTAGCGCATTAGTAAAAATTTCGTTGTAATTTAATCTTTGCAAATTTCGTGGGATAACCAATTTGGATTGCTCTGCAAAGACAGATTAATGTAAACAAAATTATTAACGTTTTATACTATATAATAGATTTTACCTTTACTTCAACATTTGTCTGCAATCTATTTTTTAAAGAGGCATTTTTAAATTTTCGCGGTAGTACAAATTTGAAAACTGGCCTTAATATAGAAAAATAAACGATTTCTGCCACCGATATGAAACTAAAACCCATAAACAGGCCCATAATACCTCCAATATTAGCTAAAAGATAGAAAAAATTAAATAATTTCGTGACTTTTTTGGTACAATTTTTAAAACAATATGACACTGACTCATCAAAAACTAAATTTTTCTTTAAAATTGTAATTTTAAATGATGTTGATTTTAAATGATGTTAAAAGTAATATCCTTCAAATATATTTTTGCACATACTTAGTTATTGTATTGTAACTTACATAGGAATTCCGTCAAACCAATGTAGACATTTTTTAAATCGCCATAAAATACTGATTCACGATAGTAAAAATGAACAATGGCAATATTTTTTCGCATTTCGTCTTTGGGCATATTGCGCAGTATGCTATTTTGAATAGTGTAATTACGTTCGGCCAGTGGCCCTGAAAAGGAGTCTGGAAGAAAATTCAGATCAAAGCAGCCTGGTAGACAGCGCTTTAAACACAAACTATCTGGAGACACTAGTGTCCACTCTTTGCTCGCTTTGTTAATACAGAAACTCTCATTTACGGTACATACGGTGGCATTGTTGTAGACCAGGGGATAATTGTATGGTATGCAGGTGCACTGCTGATACAAGTATATAGCCTGACATTCGCTTTCGCAATTGCGTCGCGTGTAGTACTTGTAATAGAGTAGCCGTTCCTCATTCATAAAAACACATTGACGACGATTACGATGTATGGATCGAATAGATGGGACAGCTTCTGATCCTAAAGCATCAATACGAAAACGAGTTTCATAACCTAGAGGTACAGTCAGTCCAGTTTCTTTGACCGAAGGCGTTTCAATGGGGTTGTGAAGTGAAATTTTTATTCCGGGACCATTTGTTGAAGAGCAATAATATTCATCTAATTCAGCATTCAAAATGACCGATAATCCCATTGAAACTCCTGTACCTAAAGAAAACAAGTACAAACATTATAATAATTTTTAGAGACAGTTAATAGAACTTTGACCTACCAGAGGCTGGTCTAGGATAAAATTTCTCTGGTAAATTGTTTTGATAACCACTTTCAGGATTCCAATTAACTGCTTTTGTTACTTTGTCATCCTTTAAATCCTTTATAATATCATATCTAAAAAGATTCACTCCAATTAAGTATGAATGTTGAAATATGTACAATGTAAATACGTGTAACTTACTTTCCTTTGTACAAAAATTCTGGATGCAAAGTGTTGAAAACACAACAGAGACCTTCATCTGTCATCACTTCGCGAAATAATTCGCTGCAGTTATAGACTATAGAACTTATTTGGCAATAAATTAACATACGAGCACAAGGTTGGGCATGCTTTACGTTTAAACATGTGCAAAAAATTATTGCGAAAGAAATTTAACAAGAATTATACAGTACAAACCTTTATAACAAAATCGGCTATTCTTAAGTTGTTATTTTTAATATTGTTTTTATCGGCCAACCGTTCATCGTATTCCGATTCAGTAAAACATAAAAATTGCAAAATATCATATTCTAGCGAATCTCTGTAATTATAAATAAAAAACACAAAATTCAGTTTTGTGTAATTTGAGTAAATCTTGAAACAATTTTATAATCTTACTCTGAATAATTTGCAACTTTTGAATTAAGCACTTGATTCATGTTGCACAAAGTCATGGCGGGAAATGGCACTTTAAGTATAGATGTCGGATGGGGACTTATACCAATAATAACAGGAGTACTATCCCATTTTGCGTACACATTTGATATTAAATTTGCAACAATTATAACGGCAGCTACAAACGAGGCAAAGAAAAATAATCTGAAAATGGGAACATATTTTATTTATGATTGTAAGAATTTTGTTAAATTAGTTTCACAACTACAAGAGCTCCAATGTTTAGTAATGTTGTCTGTATGTGACTAATTAACACAACTTACTTTTCCCATATTGTAAGCGAACTATCTGCTAAATATTTAAGGCCGTGTAATGTAGTTTCCTGTAAATATTTCTTTATATTATCCATACAATATACTTGAACAATTTCACTTTTTCTTTGTTTTTTGCGGATTTGATTTGCCATATTGCGTTTTAAATCCTTTCCGCTTTCTCTTACACTAAACTTAATACTGAAATAATATTTAGTTAACAAAATGAAGGTTTAAATTAAACTGAACTTTTCGAAATTAAGAATGTTTCATTTATTTTCTCAATTACTTAATTGTATTATGCTCCAAAATTAAATGTATTATTTATACACTGTGGAAAATGATGTTCCTAATATAAATGTAAAGAGGGTTGCTAAATTTTTAACATTCTTTTATTAATTAAATTTTATTTTAAATCTAAAAACTCGAGTACATTTTCCGATAATTTTTCATTGTCAAAAAGAGACAAATTTGAATACTTCAAAATTTAATTATTTTTTAGATACATATTTCTATTTACACATGACTATTTCGAAAGGTGTATGTTAATAAGCCTAATTACTATATGTACGAAAGTTTTTTCTTTTCTAGAATTGAAATTAAAATGAAGTATTAATTAAAAATAAATTTATTGATGACTCCACAGTGTTTTTTTACAAGTAGGTTTTTTTTGTACAAATTGAGAAGTTAACTGACATTAAAAGTTTTTTTTTCGTGGTAATTATATTGAAGATACTGTTTTTGTTGTTGTAAATTACCTTTTAAAGACATGATGACATTTGTTTGTTTGTCTATTACATATATACATGTCTATACATTTTAAAATATACATATGTACATAATGCACATACATAATGTGTTCCGATAGACGAATATCATCTTATCGCAATGCATAATTTGTTTCTTTAACGAGCTTCTTCAAATTTGTGTGTTTTACGTTAAAAAAATTTATACAGGGTAAGAGTAAAATTTGGAAAAGAAATAATTTATGATGTTTCTCTGATGTGATGATGAGTTTTATTAATATTCTTCTTGAATAATTTAAATTATTTACACGAATTACAGCATAAGAGATCGAGTAAAATTTTTCCATTTTTAAACATTCGATATCGAACATGAAATCTACAACGCTAATTCGATCACGTATGTGGTAATTCGGCCTCAGATTTTTAAAATGTTTGTTTTAGTTGTCCGTACGGGACGTATGATTATTATGATTTTCAAATAACACGTATACGCCCTCTGACTAGACATAAACAAACAATTATGACGTTAACTTATTAAAGTTGTGAAAATGAAAGAATGAATGATTGTATTGATTGTTTATTTATGTTACAAATTTTAACAATCATTATTTTTATATTTTTTTATCATTTTTCTTCCGTATGGAACGTTACATAAAGAAATTATTGATGTTGAAGACATTTTTGAAAAATGCGATTTTATTTTTGTATATTCTTATATGTAAGTTCTCACTCAACCTGCCGTATTAAATACATGCGTACTTATGTATGTACATACGTTTCCAATTTATCGTTTGTTTATAATTTATAGTTAAAACTTAATTAAACTATAAAACGACCACAATAGCTTAACAAATGTTTAGTTCATAAAAGAAAACTCACATATGTACATGTGTATGTGTGTACGTTCTTATGTACACATTTAGTAGAAAATCACATATGCCATTCAAATTAAAATAGATTACACGGTGTGAACGTGAAAAAATTTTTCACTAATATGATTTTTATTTTAATATATTAATTAATAATGCCTAAGTGAAAGATCGCAATCAAATCGCATTGGGGTAGGATTAAAATATTTAGGAAATATATTGGGTTAATCGGATCAACTAGCCATTTGCGACTACAATGAAAGTATGAATTACGAATAAAACTGTTATACGAACATTGTCATTCGATTTGTAATGTACATACATATGTATGTATGTATTAACGTGCTTTTTAAAAATATAGCAGCATTTTTGTAAAGTAATTTACTATACAATGCAAAATATAATGATAATTACAGCACTAAATGCAAAAATATCTCTGCCACGTAAAAAAGCGACTAATGCTAGAAGAAGCTTTTGTTGTTTTAGTTGAAAACATTGACAGTAGAGGAGTATTCTAAGGTACTATATACAAACAGTCAACACTAATTACAACAGTTTCAAAATATTTTGGAGTATGTATTTCGAAGTAACTAGTAAGTTGAGTGCTGTTACAAACTCGAAAAATATGCAGCATCTACATAATGTATAAATATTTCACATAATATGAAAATAGAGAAAGATACATATACATACACACATACGTACAATGATACTCATATCAACACACATTTAACATTAAATACACATATTTGCGAGTATCACCTGACATTCCTTAACTGCAGTCATAATGTAAAAATTCTCTTAAAGGTACACTTTTCAAAATTCTACACTGATTGATTGATTAAATAAATTGGGGTTTTTTTAATTCTGTGTGTCATTGTTAGTTTATTCATAAATTTTGCATTTACTCTTTCCTTTAAATGTGTTTCTGACATTTTTGCTACAAAAAATTGTTTATTCTTATATTTAACAACTAAACTTTAAAACCAAAACCAAAAAAACATATACAACAACCTGTTATTTCAACTGACAAACTTTAAAAAATTTTCCTCGATGTATTTACTACTACTTACATATAAAGTAGGGTATTCAAACGGCTAACCATTGTTCTATTATCTTTACATTTTTTTTTAATAGTTTGAATACAATTTTTTTCGCCTTGATATAAGTTTGTCATTCCGTTTGTAATTTCCGCATTGTTATTTTTCGACAGTAAATAATAATTTTATAATCTGTATTCTTATAGATAGAAAAGTTGATTTATCTATATACATATGTATGTATGTTAGCCTGTCTGTTGAAATCAATTTTCTAAAAATCCTTATCCTCAAGAAGTTTATTCGAATTGCTTTCGAGAAGTTTCTATTCTTTTGTTTTTTAAGGTACGATTTATCATACTTAACGGGATGGAAACAATTTAAAAAATATAAAAAATATTTTTTTTCATAATTTTTAAGCAAATTGACAATTAATTGATTGAACCAATTTAAATGATTGAAATAATTTTTAAAGAATTAACTGACTAAAATTAAAACTCGAATACCCTAAAGTAAAGTTCTATTATAGTGTACTATAACTAATACATGCACTACATGTACATTAAAGGTGTCCAAAAAATTACGATTTTCCTTAGATGGGTCTTATTTTGTTCAGTAGTGTCTAAAACTAACTGGTGTTAAATTAAATCCAATTAAAAAATTCTTATTATTTTTATAATTTTACACTTTTCAATCGATTTTCGGCACGTGTTACTTTATTCCGATTGTATTAAAATTTTACCCATTCTAGGAAAACCGATATTTTTTGTACACCTCTAATGCACATACATATATTTGTGTAAGTATTGTCTGCCTTCCTGGTATCCTCACTTACACTACTTTTTGTACTCGTAAAAAGTAAAAGCGACAAACATGTCAACCACTGTTGGTCCTTAGACTTAGTGGAAGCACACAATTTTTCTACAACAAATTGCCAAGTTGCCCTATTGGAATTCTCACATTATATTGAACATTCCAAATTGGGTGTAACCCACATCTACTTTTAAAAATATACTGATTAACTCCATCAGTCATAAATTTCCAAGTGGGTGAATAAAAATGAAAAATAAACAAAAAACATATCCGTGTATAGAAAAACAAAATTAAGAACAACAATATGTACAATTTATAATATACGACGACCTTTTTTTTTATTAATGTATTGTAGTCGTACATACACCTATGATGTGTCTATGTATCTAGTTATGTATGAGTCTATGTATAATATTGTTGTGTGTACAGAAAGGAAAGTAAACAATTGCAACAAATTGTTTAAAAATTTTGAGTAGAAAAACCCCCAAACTTTATCGATCAAAATTACATTATGTTGCGGTTTAAAGAAAACAAAAAACAGAATAAGAGAAGAAAAAGGCTAAAAGTTCTTTATTTAATAAAATTTCTAATAACGAAACAAAACTAGAAAATCTTATAAAATACCACAGATGCAAGCTATAATAAGTTTTCTGTTTTTAAATATGTACATTAGGATGGCAACGGTTAATAATCAACTTTTATAGGTAATTCTTTTGAAAAATACTAATAATTTTTCTTAAACCTTATTTTTTTTGTTCGTTTTTTAGTTGGTTGCATTTGATATTAATTCTAGACGAAAAAGTGGTGGGATTTCACATTGCAAGAACTACCTTAATGTTTGTAAGTGAATTGCTGTTATTTTGCACCTTTTCGTGTTTGGATTATTGTGTTATAAAACACTGAAAATTGAACAAGTGCTTCCTATATTCCTGCAGGGTCAAGGGTTAAAAAAATAATGAATTGAATGAATACATACATATTTCATGAAGTCCATAGAATTCATTTCAGCCAAAAATTAACCTTTGTTATATTTTAACAGTTACAAAACATTCCTAGTAACAATATTTGGAATGTATTTTATCAAGAACCACCCTAATATATAGTACATATTACCAAGAAGTTTAAACTTTCCATTTATTTCATAATAGTCCTGTTCTGCCCTCCTTTAAAAGAATCACTGTACTAAACGAACCCACGACCTCTGTACTAACAGACTACACTACCTACTATCCTACGAGGAACTCTTTTAAGTCTTGAAATCAGCTTTTATTATTATTTTTTTTGTATTGAGAAACCATCGTGACCGTCAATTGATATCAAATTGCAATGTTATAAATTTTTCAAACATTTAATATTGTGTTTGTTGGACGCATTAACCCAAATTTTCTTTGCATCACATATTGCCGTTTAACGTGTAAAAATGTAGACATTTACATATCCTTACTTAATGATTCTCATAAAAACTTGTAGTAATGTCTTTTTAAAATTAAATGTACATATTTAAAAAATAATAAAAAAATACATTTGACATTTTTTTTATTGTTACATACATACATATGTAAGTATGTATGTGTATTGCCATTTTCCCAACAAATTTTACGTTTGACGGAAGCATGAACTTAACATACACAAATGTGGAAATTTGAATGAAATGTTATTTTAACTCTTCCCATTTTTTTGATGAAATCATAAATTCCCATTATTTCTATGACTACGATTAACAACTAGTGACATTATAAGTTCTAAAGTGAAATATAAGGCGTTATAATGATTACACTATTGATTACATAGTTATGCTAACAATAAACTTTACGCTAAATTATCTTTTACAATATGTTAACTAATCAATTGTCAACAGTTGTCTCTGCAATGAACATACACATACATAAGTATCAAATGCATTGAAGTATTTTTTTTTTTATTTTGTTATAAGTTGTTTGTAAGAATTATGGGATCTAATTATATACATAAGTACAATATATGTACAATCATGATTATTAAAAATTATTATCTGAAAAAAAAAAAAAAAACATTAGAAAAACACCTGGCATGAACTAAGTAATTCACATATTCAATTATTAACACATCTCTTGACCAATAAAATTGAAATTTCACTCTACTATATGTTGAGTATATGAAAATAAATTGAAGCTTTAAGTTATTAATTGTTTTTAAGCAAACAAACAAAATGTTTATTTTATTAAGACATTTGTTTTAAGC